ACTGATGTTCATTGCCCGTAAATGCTTCTGACCATGCTACCGATGAATTCATTGTAAACGTTCAGTGTTTCACGACTGAATAAATCTCAAGTGATTGAAACATTGTAAAAAAAGGTCTTTTATCATCCGAAAGGCCGAGTGTTATTTTTTCCCGTCGATTATCGATTTTTTTTCCGTTCAGGTTACATGGATTGATTCAATTTAACATATGTGCATTGTGATACATTATGGTACATTGAAACGCAATTATGTTGAGCAGGCACATGAAGCGATTACTTTGTTCCCATGTATACGCGCTCCATCGTTCGCTCGCGCGCGCTACCGATTGAATCATTGAACACAATCGCCGAACCGAGAGGGGTGCTTTTTTCTGCTCTGAAAATAGAGTTTCTATGTCTTCAGCATAGCGGTTGGTTTGTCGTGCGACTTGATATAGCCTGTCAAATAAAATGCGGTACACACATGCATACATATATATATATACAAATACAAGCGTATCGTGACCAATGTAGGTATGCTAACTAATTGTGTAGATTCCAGTTGGCCAGGCGTTTCGTAACAATCGCTCAATCAAATATTGGTCTTGTTTTTCGTTTCTATGTGTAAACTTCGCTAGACGATAGAAACATGTGAAGTGAGAGAGGGCAACCAAGAGAGAGAAAAAAATGAGAAAAACGGAAACAAAACCGAATTTATGGTTAATTTATTGTGCAAGTTGTACGTGGTAAAGTTTCCACTGGATCGCGATTTGGGCGAGAATTTATGGAAATGCGAATTGTTTGAGTCTGTGATTTATGATTTCACTCTCTCTCTCTCTCTCTCTCTCTCTCTCTCTCTCTCTCTCTATGTATATTTTGGCTTGGAGAAGAAACAAAAAGCAGTGTAGCGCTCAAGTAAGAACTCAACCGTGTTTTTATTATGCCGTCTTCAGTAAGTTATGATGTGCCTATGACCCGATAAACGTTTTCCTCAACCACAAATACACAAAATGATGTTATCACCATTCAACGTTGAGTTCTGACAATTGCTATAGAAAAAGTCATCGTCAGTAGATATTTCTTTTCTACTTACTGCTTTCGACATTATTTCGGCACCCAAAACGCTCTAGAATTCGTCTGCGTACGACGATTTTGACACATAAATCAGACCGAATATGTGACTAAAAAAGAGTGTGCGTTTTGTACAGAAAGTGAAAATCAATAATAATTATCTTATTAGGAACACTCTGGCGTTTTCTTGCCACTGTTATTGTCACCACCGCCACTGCTGCTGATATGATTTCCAACTCTTGTTCGCCTCGAAACAGATGTGAAAGCACATACACGAGAAAAAACTCATGTACAAAAGTATTTTTCCGTTTTTCTTGTTTTCACAATGTGCACATAAATATTTGAAATACATTTTTTTTGCCCGAATGCGACATTTGACCCATTTTCTCTTTCCAAATGACTTCACAACTTCCAGATGAACGAAAGCAAGCACGGCACCATTCTGAACAGAACAAGCGAGTATTCATGCAGTTTCACAATTCGTACAATGATTCTATCTCGCCCACTCTCTCCATCTCTCTCCCTCTCTTCTGCCATTGCAGTTATCTCTTCATCACATTTTCACGATTTTGTCATTTCATTTTGTAATAAAAATAAATTGAAAATTTTGTCACATAAGAAAAACCGACAAACTGAAGTGTTATTCGTTCAAACCAGTAGTAGAATTTCTACTGTCGGAATTGCCGGAAAATCTGGTGAACAAAAAAAAAACTTTGAACAAACGAAAAATGAGCCCAATGAAAAAGATATTCGTGTGCACTGCACAAACACACATGCAATGGAAATCGAGAACATAAAGATCTGAATGTGTCAGCGACAGTGTCTCTTAATTCATTCTGTGAAAACTCAGGCCAAACAATTCGAAATAAAGTTTTGCATAAACTTGAGTTTCCGATTTCATGGATTCCATGCTGTGGCGTTTCCCTGTTTAAATGTGAATGTAAGCAATTTGAATCTCAAGTGTAGTGTTAATTTGGTGCTCTTAAATACCGTTCAAGTAAAGTGCATCTCATGCAACACCAAAGCCAACAGAATTTTAATCATTCCCTTTACGGATTCGTGTGTTAATTTAGCCAAATGGGTTTGAATAAAAGAAAGGAACACATTGGTAAAAAAGCTTAAACACGAATGCAACGCGGAAAGTGCTTAGTCAACGGAAAATATGCATGTAACGAATGCAATAGAAAATGACGGGAGCTTCAAATGGCAAACACAAGAGAATATATTATAATAATTTTTGAGAGCAGAAATGAGCCCGCACTTTCTCTCTCTCTCTCTGACATTCACAATTGTTCACAGGGCCCGAAAAATGCGCGCAACGGAAACGAACAACTTGCACACAATGTGAATGGCACATGCAATCGTTGCGAGTGAATGCAATTTTTGCTTAAAATGTTCCGCTTCTATGTTCTTGCAACGCAGCACCAATTCTACCCGTTTTGCTGGTGGTATGCGGAAGGCGAAAAACTTTTCGGTGGATTCAATTATTTATGGCATTTGTTTGTGCTTCATTCCGTTGTTTTGATGAAGAAAGAAAGCAAGCAAAGTTCTTGTAGTTGTTTTTCCGTTTCTGAATATTAGCATATTTGTTTACGCGTGCAAACGACGGCGATTGGGAGAGCAAAAAAGAAGAAGAAAATACCGTAGCCAATTCGTTTATCGTGCGAAAAAACGAATGAATCCAAAATGAAAGTCATTTATTAAATGAAACTTTTTATGTGCGTCGTTTTTTTTTCGTCATTTGAAATGAAAAAGAGTATGGCTGAAAGGAAAGGGAAGGATCTGAATTATGATCATAATATAATCAGCTTGTAAAGATTATTTAATTCGAATCATTTGAAAGCTTATTTCATCGACTCTCATACAACATCTAGATTTCTATACTTTTCTATTTTTGCAGAGCCGTAGACTTTTGTGATGACAAATTTTATAGGATTTCTCTAGATATAAATGCTTGATATTATAGTATTGACGTATCACATTTCCATCGGAAAAAAGTTGATAATTCAAATCAAAACCACATGAACTTCTTTTTGGATTTGAAAATCAATGAAAGTACGAGCACGGTACCCGGATTTTTGTGCAAAGCAATCGTGTGAGAATATCTCGCATTCAGTCGTAGCGACTGTCTGAAGTTAACGCCCTAGGATGTCATTAAGTGTATTATCCGACGGGAAAAGTTTCTCACGTAGAGCTGACAAACGAGTGAATGAGTCGAGTGTTGCGAGTGTGTTTGTGGGTGGAAATGCGATTTTTCTCTGTTTTTTTTTTAAATCAATGAAATTATTCAGTTGATTTCAAGTAATGCGGTTGAGGTGAAACCGTTCAGTATCGCCGCGCTTGCCAATGTTAGTTCCGATTCAATTGTTTGAGAAAATCGAATGATGACACATTTTGCAGGAATAAAGTTCGATACATGGCAAGGCTAATGTGTGTTGTACAAGCTATTTACGGACTTTATTTCCCCGATGCGGATGTGTCGTATCGTTCTGTTGACTGGTAAATTGCATACGCATTGGCTTTTATGTTGTATTCGCTTCGCCACGCATTTAAATAATTCAATTCGTTCCTTCCTTCCTTCGTTCTTGTTGGCGTTAGAAGTTGGCCAACAAAGGAACGAGTTTGAATCAAAAGAAAGGGTGTGCGAGTGTTTGTCGTTTGTGGTCAGTAAATTTGCATGTTTCATGGCTGGAAACGACGATAATCTTTAATTTGCACGCGATGCAGTAAAATGGCTTTTACCATTTATTCATTTCATTCGATACCTTGAAAATGAAAGGAATTAAAAGCGGACAAAAAAATGCAGTACGCAAAAATCCCATGCATTTGAATTTCAAAGAATCATCGAAAACAATGAATCCATTCGGCTTAAAAATGCAGCACAAAATTTAAATCAAGCCATGAAACGGATAATCCCATTTTATGATCAATGCAAGAAAAGATGAAGAGCGCAGCTCAAACAAAAACGAATGAAACCAGTAACCCCATTACATGTTGCTGCTGCTTGCTAGGGCAGCGAAGACGAATAAAAACACAGCGTTTAATTTAAGCTTATACGAAAATGAAACATATGACATTAATCGCACACATACACACTCCAATCCAATACACTGACGCAGTGAGCATGTGTTGCGTGATGTGACATTTATCCATCTACGCTATTCAAACGAACGCGTTTAGTATTGAAATGTAATGGTTCAAATATAGTATGTTTATGATGTGTGTGTATATATTATGCGGCGAGCGCATTTTATCGATTCGACGACGTGCTTCTTTTCCTTCTCCCTCGCCCGCTGCCTCTCTCATAACTTCAGAATCACAATTTGAAGTGGGCATGAAAGCGCAAAATGTCACAAGCCGATTTATTTCCATGAAATCTGTTATTGATTGAAATTCGCAGAATGCGCCGGAAATTTACTGCAAAAAGCGAACATTTCGTCATCAATTTCGCCGAATCAGAGCTTAAGTCATCCCATACCAGAATTTTTGCTTGTTTATTAGCCTCGCGATAGAATAATATTCATGAATGATATATTTAAATATAGAAAAAATAAACTCCACAAACAATTGACTCGTTCATCAATTATGCCACTGTGGATGGTTGGGCTCTGTCACGTTTGTAGATAGAGAAAAAAAAGCAATGTGCGTTTGAATGGAAAAAGTTATGCATCGATTGAATAAAGTTGATTTCGAAAACAATTTAATTGCTTTTGGATCGTATAAATGATAATTACTGCATTATTGTTTGGTAAGTCACTTTGGGCGAGCGAATTAACTTGATAATCCACATTTTATTTGTGTTCACCACCGAAGTGACAGTTTTCCACCGAATTAATGCGATTGGTTCAGCGTTTTCTGTTCGTTTTTTCCTCTGTTGTTGTTGTTGTTGTTGTTGTTACCATATACTCACTGTGTTTCTTTGTCTTTTTTTTTCGCTCTAACCCCAAATAGGTTAGCGGCAGCTCAGGAAGCAGCGCTAGCAGGCCACACTTCACGAAACGGATTTCAAAAGAGTACTTATCGTTTAGCTGATAAAATGGGTGGTCAACAGTCTCGCGGTGAACCACCAACTAGTGGTGGTCCCACATCGCTTTTCATATTCACAGAAGAGAATCCGATTCGCAAATATACCCGATTCATTATCGAATGGCCACCGTTTGAATATGCCGTACTCATGACAATCATCGCAAATTGTGTGGTGCTCGCTCTCGAAGAGCATTTACCAGATGGCGACCGAACAACATTGGCGAAGTCTCTTGAAGCGACTGAAGTCTATTTTTTGGGTATATTCTGTGTGGAAGCATCGCTGAAAATTGTAGCCTTAGGCTTTTTACTGCACAAAAACTCCTATCTCAGGAACATATGGAATATAATGGATTTTTTCGTTGTAGTAACTGGGTAAGTGTAAGGCCAATTAATTGGTATCATCAAATATTTACTTTCCGGCGTTTGTGGGCACTGCCAACATTTTGAACAAACGGTTCGTCGATCTGCTCTGGAATTTCGAATACATTACAGACACGAGCCATTTGCGTGCGTGTTTCATCAACGGAAAAGAAAAATTACACCGTTGAAGGTGGCAATCCCACAATCGGACCGAATTAAATGAAAATTTTCTTTCACTTTGCGTTTTATCCAAAAATCAAAACAATATCAAGACATATAATTCTCTTTTTTTGTCTGACCAAATGAAAAACGAACATTCAATATATCGCACGAATGCGACGTTGTCAAAAACACAATCTCAAAATTCAAATCGAAAATACGGAAATTAGCTCAATGACCGTATTCGCCGAAGCAAATGTCGATGTCGATTTACGTATGTTACGTTCGTTCAGAGTATTACGTCCATTAAAACTCGTCTCTCGGATACCAAGTAAGCGCTGGCGTGTCAATTGCCTTTCATCCACACTCTCTCTTTCATAAACACATCCAGTTCCAAACGTTAATGGACAAAATCAAAAAGTGTACCACTTCTGCCGAAACGCTCCGTAGTCCAACATTCGAAAACATTCAGCTGAAAAGCTAACAGCAACCACGTGTTTCTTTTTTCCTTCGGCGGCAGGTCATGATAATTACCTGAATATATATTGTATGTTTCATTCCAATTACTGCAATTTATTTTTTCACATATAATTTCATTCTCGATCCGTTTCACGGAATTTCCCTCGGATTTTTCGGAACTGATCGAGGGTGAAACCCATGATTCATAGGCCATGAATTACATGGTGATTTTTCCTTGGGTATTTACGGTTTATCCTGGAATATGTGGGTTTTCGTTGGTCTTTCTCAGAAATGTTCGAATGCTGTTCAACTTGGGCGTGGTGGTGAAGTGTATACCATTTAGAGATAGATTAAACTACTTAGTCATTTATTTACCGTAGGAAATAAACGTGTCGATATAATAAAAATGACGACATTTTTCGTTTTCAGTCTTTAACACGTTTTCAATTAATCGAATTGACTTCAAAACATTTATTAGCCCGCATATATATACACCATAGATCGACACTAATTGAAATATTAATTTCCACAATAATTGTGTTGTTCCTGTTCTTGTTCCTGTTCATATAACAATCCCAATCGATGATATTGTCGCATAGAAAATTGTTTGTTTCTCGTAATAGATATTTTTTCTCGTCTCACTCAGTTATCCTTTTATAATCGACCTGTTGATAATGTTATACCATTACTTCAACATAACGTATTGGCTTCCGATTGGCTAGATTTTTGATAAATGAACGCCATTACTATTAATTAATAGTCGCTTGAGAGATCAATTAATCTAAAATAAGATTGAAAACATTTAGTTGCTGCCGTATTGTGTGCGTCGATCCATTATTAGCTATTGGCATCGATACAACTGGCTGGGGATGTAGTTGCAAATTATCGATTTCAAAATATACATTTTATATATGCTAGTCTAGATGCAGACAACTTTATCCATACGAATTATGTACGCTATGAGCTACATTTAAGCGGCACAAACCTTATATTCTTATAGACAATGTACACCGTACAGTACATTGTAAACACAGGCATTTTCGCATAATGATACATGTTATTTTGATGAGACCGAATCGTGTAATATAACGATTGTATTTTTCTTCTCGCTGGGAATGTTTGTGCAATTACAATGTGTAATTTACTTCGGCTAGTCGCAAATAGTGTTTTATTGAAAAATATATAATCGTTTGAATCTCACATATTCTAAGCTGTGAGCGTCAACATTTTTTTTTCTTTCATAGAAACAATTTAATCTATTTTTCCATATAATCAAATAGTGCTAAATCGTAGACCGTTTTCTTTATCGTTTCTTTATTGTATTTTTCTTGTCTTTTTCGTAAAACCTCGATCGCATCTTGCAATCGAACATCACACAAACCACAGGTTCATCACAATGTTTCCATCGATAGGAACTCAAGTAGATCTAAGAACTCTACGAGCGATAAGAGTTCTTCGACCGCTAAAATTAGTATCTGGAATTCCTAGTGAGTAGTGCGGCGCTAGTCATAGACCGTTAAAATGCTTAGTCCTTTTCTGTTATCGGATATTCATTTTGTTTCTAGCATTTTTCGTAGTTTATAGTTTTCATTTACCGTAGTGAGTTTATAGCGTGTATTTTGTTTCTATTTCATTTGTAGCTCAATATTTTTCATTAGAATTTTTTTCAATTTTATTGAATAAGAATTTACTAACGATGGTTTTTTTTCTCTCTCTCTCTCTCTCACTCCCATTCCAATTGTGCAATTGATTATTCGACCGATCCAGGTTTACAAGTAGTTTTAAAATCAATAATAAAAGCTATGGCACCGTTGCTTCAAATCGGACTCTTGGTTTTGTTTGCAATTGTCATATTTGCAATCATTGGGCTCGAGTTCTATTCGGGTGCATTGCACAAGAGTTGTTATAGTTTAGAGAATATAAGTGAGTATAGTTTTGTTTTCATTTTTTTCACAAACGTTTTTCCTTTTTTCCGTCTATCTTTGTTTCTCTTTTTTTGAACTAAACCAACTAAACAGCGAATTGAATTTCCTTTGTTGTGTGCTAATTGACCATAAATCAAAGAGAAACATTCACGGCTACGCACGCACAATCGCACATTAAATGTTCCACTTTCACAGAAAGTGAAACAGTCAGAGCGATTCGAAAGCAAATTCAATTCGAAGTGAAAATGTTTCATTCAATTTTAATGAACCAAATTGAAAATTCCAAACCAAAACTTCAAATTAAACTAATCGACTATAATACCCATTGGACTTACACAACATTATTTTTCTTTTGTAATTTTACACTCAATTACATGAAACCACACACACACACATACACACACACGTCATGAAACCAACAAACAAAAAATTAAATAAATACACAAACACGAAAACTGAAAACGTAGATGTAATTGTGAAGGAGGGAGATGCCGAAGTTCCGTGTAATTCTGATAATAAAACATTATCACCGTCTGGAGCATATCCATGTAACGCGAGTGTTAGTACATGTTTAGAAAAATGGGATGGTCCCAATTACGGCATAACGTCATTCGATAACATTGGATTCGCAATGTTGACGGTATTTCAGTGTATCACGATGGAGGGCTGGACCGCTTGCCTCTATTGGGTTCGTTAAATTACATTTCAAATTCTAAACGCAACCAACATCGTCTTCTGAACACTTTTACACACTGGTGACAAATATCGACTGTGTTCACTTCAATCTGTCTGTCTCTTCAACCGAAACACAAAATTGAAAGCAACCAAATGAGAATCGCTTCATTTTTTGTTTTGTTTCTTACTCTGTTCGTGATTGGTGTAGTTGTCTTAATTTGAACAGTCTTTTTTTTATTTTTGTACTCCAAAAAAAGGAGAAACATGATCTATTTGTGATATGATTGCTATTGTATGTATCATTTGTATTGCTATTTAAAAAAAAATTCTCGTTCATCAGTTCGTTCTGTTCGTTCATTGGCTCTTACATCAAACAAAACTGCTCTATTTCTTTTTATACGTTTTTTTTTCTGTTCATTTCTCATTGAGTTATGGTGATTTTTCTAAATGTGGTATTCAAAACTTTCAACCTCTTATACAAACGTATTCATCCAACCTTGTTAATGTTGTTATTATCTTTTTTATAAACGACGAACGGAAAACAAAACACCAAAATCTCATCGAACAATTGATAAGGTGTGCATATGCAACGGTAAGACTTGATTTTGGTTGCGAATTTTTCCCCCGTTGCAAATGTACTTTTATCAAATGGTCGCCAAATGAGAATGTATTTAATTTACTATTGCATGTTTGTAGTCATGTAAATCATCATGTCACACGGAATGCAATTTTCTTCCAGAAATGAAAGGAAATTGCTACCACCTCTGCTGTTTATCAACAGATTAACACATCAAATTCACCAAATCTTCTCACTCCAAACTATAAATCATTCAGTACACTCAACAGACAGAGATCAACAGCTGTTGGCCTCAATCGTCTGTGCAAAATGATGGAAATGACAATTCAGACTTCATTTCCGTCCAAAAGAGAGTCATTTTGTTTTCACTCTCGTCACTACATATCATATACATTATGTTGAACTATCGCGTGCGCGTTTTGCTATTACGGATGTCGTTGTTCCAGTCACTTTGCACGATGGTTATGTTTGCTGTGTGTCTATTTTCATGTGTGTATTTGTCACATTTCTTCATTGCTCTCTCTCTCTGTCTCTTTCACTCACTCACTTGCTGTATGTTTCGAAGTTAGTTCGTGTCGTATCAGTGTTGTCACGTGCATCAAACAAATCATTTTTTATGGCATCGAATTTAAAATTGTAATACTAACACAATCTTTTCTATTTGTGGCGCTTTCTAACATCGAAAAATCGTGAAATGTAAACATGTCGCGAAAATGGCCCCGCACACAAAAACAAACAACCAAATTGAAATTCAGACCAACGATGCACTCGGTGCAATGTACAATTGGATCTACTTCGTGCCGTTGATTGTGCTTGGATCGTTTTTTATGTTAAATTTGGTTCTTGGTGTTCTCAGCGGGTAAGTGAATATCAACATTTCGGAAACGAAAAAATCTTTGAAAAAAAAAGTCTGTTTGTTTTTATTTTGTTTCGAACACAACACTATTTCGACAATTTTATCGATCGAATCACGAAAAATTAAACTTTACCTGCTTCACTGCTTTCGTAAAAAAGCGAATTTTCCAATGAAAGAAATCGGGTCGATCGACGTGTTCAATACTACAAATGTCGGAATCGAAAGCAATTTATCGAAGATATGTCATCATATTTGGATTGGATTTCTCAAGCAGGTTATTTCGAAACATCGTTTCACTCAATTGAGTATCGCTTGATGCGTAAATTTGGTGAAATTTTCGCTTGAGTAATTTGAAAACCCTCCAAGAAAAAAAAACACGCCAGACACAAAAATATAATGCTTCATCCTTGACCATATTAAATTTGGTCAACAAGTTTTGATAAAACACAGACTCCCTTGCTCTTACTCTCCCCTCTATACTCTGTCGTGCTTTGTTGCCACGTAATTGAAATTAATCGATTTTTCGTTTTATGTAAATTCCCATTTCCCTGGTAGTGAGTTTGCTAAAGAAAGAGAAAAAGTAGAAAATAGGCAAGAGTTTTTAAAGCTTAGAAGGCAGCAGCTTCTCGAGAGAGAATTAAACGGATATGTGGAATGGATCTGTAAAGCCGGCAAGTATTCTTCGTTTTTTTTTATTGCTAAATGAATGTTTTAAGTGCTTATGCTTCGTGTTGTGATCTGTGTCGGATTTGATCCAAATCGCTAATACCTTTTCTTTTCCATTTCAAACATACACAAAAAACAGAGGAGGTAATTTTAGCTGAAGAGCGAACGACTGAAGAGGAAAAAATGCACATAATGGAAGGTGAGTCGCCATCGATTTTAAATTCATTCAAACATTCGCTAAATTAATTCATTTTCAATTCATGGATGTTACAGCACGTCGACGAGTCGCTGCCAAACGGAAAAAGCTGAAGAATCTGGGCAAATCAAAGTCAACAGATACCGAAGACGAAGATGCCGACGAAGATTGCGGAGATGAAGGTGAGCGTCCATCAATATGATGTTCACTTTATACAACTGTCATTTCTATTCTTCTTGCACACTTTTTTTCTTTCATTTATATTCAACTAAAATGGTATATACTTTTGGTTTGTATGAAAAAAAATAAAACACAATGTATGGAGATAAAACTATGATGCGACACCATTCGATCGCATTTGAACATGAATTTGAATTGCATTGGATGCAATTTATTCAATTGATGTTTCGTATTTTTATTCACAGTGCATAAAACAAAAAAGGCAAAACTACGAAAAATAAGTAAGAAATTAAAATGACTTTTCTATGTGTTTGGAAAGGATTATCACAGTCGGCTTGAATAGTATTTAGCTAAAATGCTATTTTTAATTCACCGTCATGTGCTATTTTTAAGACATACCACTTTTGTACAGCTAATCCAAATGCCATTTCCGTTACCAGCTAATTCAACAAGTAGGCTTGCTTCATTGAATTGCTTTTCGTTCTAGAAATCGATTGTCTACGCCTTCGTATCGGATTTTTTTTTTGATCAAAGTCATCCCTCGCAAATCGAGCATTTGCTCGAACCAAACCAAGCTAAAAACAATTACACGCAAAGACTATATAGCCTATTAAATATTATTATTAGTCATTAGAATTGTGAGGGATCGTGTCGAAAGTTATTTTCGTTTCTATCAAATTGCTTGATTTCAATAATAATCTACCTTTTCATAAACGCGCTAGTTTCCATTGGAATCAGCTATTTGGACAGACTAACATTTCGACTACGCTCCGTCATGTGTATATATGTGTAGAAGGAAATCGGTTTCAAATGAACGTTAACAATTTTTAATAGTTCCGACTTGCGCCAAACGAATATAACGATGCGTTTAACTTTATCCATATTTCCCTGTCTATAACTCACATGAAATCGATTTTCTGCCGTGAAATTAGAAACCAAAATTCCGCATCTATTTGTTTTAACGTTTAGTATTATTATGCACCCTCACTCTATCTCTGTTCTTCTAATTATCTTGCCAAAAAACTGATATTACATGATTTCAGGCTATCTTAAACCAAAAGTGCCGAATCAAGGGAGTTGCAAAAGTTTCTGGTTGGCGGAAAAACGATTCCGTTTTTGGATCAGACACACCGTTAAAACCCAATGGTTCTATTGGTTTGTCATCATTTTGGTGTTCTTCAACACGGTCACCGTTGCAGTGGAGCATTACAAGCAACCACAATGGCTCACTGACTTCCTTTGTGAGTTGAATGGATTTTTATCACAATTTAACATGATAACCAGTAATAATATTTGCTTTTCCGATTTTTAGACTATGCCGAATACGTGTTCTTGGCAATGTTCATGATGGAAATGTTCATAAAAATGTACGCACTGGGACCGCGCAAGTATTTCGAATCAGCGTTCAATCGATTCGATTGCGTGGTCATTTTCGGTTCATTGTTTGAAATTCTATGGACGCACTGGAAAGGTGGCTCATTTGGTTTGTCTGTGTTACGTGCACTTCGATTGTTGCGCATATTTAAAGTCACCAAATACTGGTCGTCGCTGCGAAATCTTGTGATATCATTGCTGAATTCAATGAGATCGATTATCTCGTTGCTGTTCTTGCTCTTCTTGTTCATACTAATATTTGCATTGTTGGGCATGCAGCTATTTGGGTAAGGCGTTTGTGTTTTGGAATGAATTCACAAACAAACGAAAATCAGTATTTTATTGAAAAATTAAAAAAAAAATAAAATCGAAAAGAGAGGAGAAAACAATCCAATAATTAAAAATGAATATAAATTAATTATTTGATTTGATTTCATTTTCGAAATTAGTGGCCAGTTTAATTTTGAAGACGGAACACCTCCCACCAACTTTAACACATTTCCCATCGCTCTGTTGACTGTATTTCAAATTCTCACCGGCGAGGATTGGAATGAAGTCATGTATCACGGCATCGAATCGCAAGGTGGCAACAAAAAGGGAATGATCTATTCTTTGTACGTATTTTAACGCATACTTCGTTTTTGTTTTAATCGTGAGCGGTTTTTTTTTACTAATTCACTTTCAATTTCGTTGTAGATACTTCATCGTCTTGGTGCTTTTCGGTAATTATACGCTGCTAAATGTGTTCTTGGCTATCGCTGTCGATAATTTAGCGAATGCACAAGAACTGACTGCCGCCGAAGAGGAACAAGTCGAAGAGGATAAAGAAAAACAATTGCAAGAGTTGGAAAAGGAAATGGAAGCGTTGCAAGGTGATGGCATTCGAATGGATGGAGGTTTAGCATCACCGCCAAAAGGTCGTAAGAAAAAAGATGACGAAAAGAAAGACGACCAAGAAGAAATAACCGAAGGTCCAAAACCAATGTTACCCTATTCATCGATGTTCATTTTATCGCCCACCAACATGTAAGTCATTTCGCATCGAATATATCAACCTCGGATTGAATCTTCGTAATCGGAGCATATTTATTTAAAATCATTCTTTTCAGTATCCGACGAGCCGCTCACTGGGTCGTAAATCTTCGTTATTTTGATTTCTTCATTATGTTAATCATCACAATGTCATCGATTGCGCTAGCCGCTGAAGATCCAGTGGACGAGAATTCGTATCGAAACAAAATTCTCAACTATTTTGATTATGCATTCACCTGCGTCTTTACCATAGAAATGTTACTAAAAGTCATCGATTTAGGCATTGTACTGCATCCGGGCAGTTATTTACGTGAATTCTGGAATGTAATGGATGCCGTTGTTGTAATTTGCGCTGCCGTTAGCTTTGGATTCGATATGACATCGGGTGGTGGTGGCAGCGTTGGCCAAAATCTATCCACAATCAAATCGCTGCGAGTGCTTCGTGTACTCAGACCGCTAAAAACAATCAAACGTGTTCCGAAACTGAAAGCCGTTTTCGATTGTGTCGTCAACTCACTTAAAAATGTTGTTAATATTTTAATCGTGTATATATTATTCCAATTCATTTTCGCTGTAATTGGCGTTCAACTGTTCAACGGAAAGTTCTTCTACTGCACTGATGAAAGTAAACGGAATGCTGAAGAGTGCCAGTAAGTGTTGGCGTTTGTTCGCTTGCATTTGATCAGTCCAAAAAACAAGATTTCCAAAATACAAACCGTTGTTCTCTTTTGCTCTCTCCAAAACAGGGGCTCATTCTTTGTGTACGATGAAGAGGAAGAGCTACCACGCGAAGAGAAACGACGATGGATGACACAAAGTTTTCACTACAATAACGTTGCAACGGCGATGTTAACACTATTCGCCGTTCAAACGGGCGAAGGATGGCCACAGTAAATATCCAACGAAACGTTTCGTTGTTGGAACTCGTATTAAATGCTCACTCTTTTCTCGATTTCAGAATTCTTCAGCATTCGATGGCTGCCACATATGACGATCAAGGACCAATACAAAATTTTCGCATCGAAATGTCCATTTTCTACATAATTTACTTTATCGTGTTTCCATTTTTCTTCGTAAACATATTCGTGGCCTTGATTATCATCACATTTCAGGAGCAAGGCGAAGCCGAGCTACAGGATGGAGAAATCGACAAGAATCAGGTATGGCAAAACGAAGTTCGACTGTTAGATTGTTCAATTTTAACTAATTTTTCTTTTATCAACTCAATTTTTTGCAGAAATCTTGTATCGATTTCACGATCGGTGCTCGTCCACTGGAGCGATATATGCCAAGTAAACGAAATAGCTTCAAGTATAAAATTTGGCGCATCGTCGTCTCAACGCCATTCGAATATTTTATTATGATGTTAATCGTGTTCAATACTCTACTACTTATGATGAAGGTATGACCAATTGTGTATCCTTTCATTTTGCATATTTCTAGTTCACCTTTTTACTTTATGGTTTCTGTTCATTTAAATTTGTTTTTTTAAACATTCAACGCGATTCAATTTTTCTTTAACTAACTTTTCTTGATCATTTTGTTGATTGGTTTGTGGATAAATGACTTAGTCAATATCTAGTTTACCCGTTGATTTTTGTTTTCTTCAAAAAAAAGAGAACAATTTCTGCGTAAAATCGAACGCAATCGATAATTAGAAACAATCTTTTCCATCGACACCTTTGTTGCCAATTTGGATATTTTTTTTCAACGAAAGTATAACAAAATCCACATTTTGACCTGAGCAAACCAATTGTTTTTGGCATTCTATACAAATTCCCAACTAAATCACAAAACACACCTTCTCAAACACATCTCTCTCTCTCTCTATACATACTGATATACATACACGAACAAGAGTAGATATTGTGAGCAATCTGAGATAGGAATTCTCTTTGTTTTATTGTACTATATTAAGATGATTGTTTGGTGTGCAATTTCTATCTCTCTATCTATACTATTCGCTTAGAACATAGCGATACTACACACACATACATATTCAGCTCACTGAATCAGAACCCATTTTTGTTTCGTGATTTCCATTCGTTTTTCTTTATGAAATGGCATCGATACATATACACACCGATACACACCCACTACTTTTTTTCATTTCCTGTACTTTGTGTTCTATTGTTTCGTTTCGTCTACCCAAGAAGATCAATGCTCGCAAAAGTGATTCATCATACGTTGAAGCCTGCCAGTTCCACCAACTGACGCGAGCATTAATCCTTTTGCATGATTACTCGTACAAAAAAATTCGGTCGTCGTTCGCTTTTGCCAACGAATGCCAGAAATATTCTATGTTATGTTATGTATGTCATTTGAAATGTACCAAAATAAGAAGAAAAAAACCAGACTCACCGTTTTTTTTGATCAGTGTTGTTTTTTGCACATTTGTATCGTAAGCCAGTCATTTCGAATTACACTTTTATCGAACCTTTTTGTTCCCATTGACTTTTCTTTATATATTCGTTTGGTTGCAATGTTTTTGAATCTCACACAACGTTTGTGTTTGACTATTTTTTTGTTTTGTTCTTGGCCCGATTTGCTTTTTCGTACACATACACAAAGAACTATGTTTGAAACAGTTGCTCGCCATTAAATGAATTGATTTTACTAATTGCATTTTGGATGAAGCAACAAACAGCTAAAGATATCAAGCTCAAGGCGCATAAGACCTGACCAATGTATTTTTCGGCTTTTTATTAGTATGCTTAAATGCTCAGTGAGTATTGCTCACCCAATTAAAAAGAATTTTTTTTTGCTATTTTTGTTATTAAGCAGCGCGTCAATTGCATGTTTTCAACGAGAAGTTCCACTGATTCAAACATTTTAAATCGAAATGAATGATGGAATTCGGAATGTCAGGCGACAGAATTTCGAAGAATTTCGAAATGATTTTTGTTTCCGAACCACAGTTTTTAATCTCCGTTTTGTAACAGATGATTCCGAGAGAGAGAAAATAAAAACGATTCACCTCAATTCGCTGAGGCACTGGCCATTATTAGTTCTTTTAAGTTGGTTTTTGTCAAGTTATTACCATTTCTATAAGCAGAAATTTCTCGGTAATGAGTTTTTCTTGTGTTGTTGTTTTCACATTAGTTTCAATACTATCAATGGATGTTTGGTTTAGCTTCTTTCTCATTTTTTATCCGTAATCGAAGTTTTTTTTAAATGAAATTCCAAACACAAACTCACAACACATCATCATCATTATCATCATCATCAGAAATGGAATCGTTTTATCCGAATTGCACACAAGCTCTTGACAAATTCCCTATCAATTTTCGTCTCTCAAAATTCACCTCCCCCCCACTCAATCAAATTGTACATACGTATAAATATCTATATATTCAACTATATTTATATATATATATATCCGTGAAATGCTATCGGATCTCTGTCGTCAAGTCCGACCCAAATCGCTAAATACCGTATCAAAGCGATTTGCTTGAGGATTTATAATTTTGTAGAATAAACACTTTTATAGCCACCACAACAAAAAATAACATATAATATTCATTTTATTGTCTTTAAGAACAAAACAAAAAAAATTCAAATATTTTGTTCGTTACCACACACAAAAAAATCAAACAAAATTTCATATATAAATCATAAAACAACTTTTATAAATATATGTGTGAACCTATTAACAGTACCATAATCAAAGTCAAAGCTACGAAAAAGCAATGCGATATATCAACATGGGTTTCACTGGAATGTTTAGTGTTGAAACTGTGCTCAAAATTATCGGATTCGGTATAAAGGTTGGTATTTTAGAACTCAAAACCAAAACAAAAACTACAATCACCTAGACAATCAGTGCGGCAATTCAGCAAGAAAAATAAAAAAGAACAAATGATTTCAGCAAAAGTGCTCTCGCTAGCTATAGGCAATTTTGAAGACACACACACACACCGCACCGATTGCCGATGACAATCGAAGCGAAAGCAAATATTTGTTGTACATACTAAAAAATGTGTAGGGAGGCCAGTCAGAGATTCACTTTGTCACATATTTTTAAAGCGAAGCATTCATAAATGTTAGATGAAACTGAAATTGATATGTGTTCGTTAAGCCGAAGGCAAAGTGTTGGAATTGATATTTAGAGGTAAAACCATCAAAATATAGAGATCTGCAAAGTAATCATAGCCACCGGAGGAAATGACCATAATCGATTACATTGATGGTGATTTACACGAGATGGGTGTGTCCATGGTCAAACGCCTGAATTATTCCACAAAAGTAGTATACGCATGAACTGTTCACTCACTAATTTATACAGATATAGAAGTGTTATGAGAATGCATTTTGTGCACGGTTTTGTGTGATTATGTATGTACTCATTTTGAATTTTTCTGTGTTTTTTTTTTCCTTTTTCTGTAATATACACCAAATAGTGAATTTAATTGAATTTGCCAATTCGTGCAAACCGCACATGCGTGTGTTTACATTTATCACTCTGTTATTGTGCTCTCTGTGAATGTAAAGTGTCAGAGGTGAAAATAACAATGCATGACGTGTTCTTTAATAATGACATATAATTAGAAGCGTCCACTCGTAGCAATATTGCCTACGTAACGTTTCTTTCTCTCTCTCTCGTTCGCTAAATTGTTTTGTAAATTCGTAATTATGTTGTTGTTTTCCGTGTTTTTGCAATAATTTACATTAATTCAATGGCAGTCGGGAGCCGTGATTTGCAACCGCACGCTTCGTTTTGGAAAATTGGCCACGGTTGCAAACACGGTTCAGACTGCTTCGAGTGCATGTGAATCAAATCCAATTAGATGCCAAAATACACCATACACTAGTTGAACTAGGATATGTGATTCAAACTCTGCGGGTTTTTTAGCGAAATTATATTCACCTCAAAATGTGCAAAAATGAGTAATTTCGCACATTCTCCAAACGAAAATTGGCTGCGTTGAAAAAGAAAAAAAGCTTAAAAAAACTAGTTTCTTCCATTATGTACTGACATTCAAATTCATTTACTAACCCGTTTTACATTGACGCCGTTCCTTCAATTTAATATGCTTAAATGTTCATTATCGCAACAGAAAACCATTAAATAATTTTTGGTTCGCCAATTTTTTTTCTTCCAATGAAAAGAACGTACTTTTTTCGTTGTTATAATTCAGTAAAAACAGTCAACATTGGTACGACATCTCCAAATATACGACGAAATGAAAAACATACATAAATTTTTTTTTTTGGTTTGACTCTCTATTTTCTTTTCATTTTGATTAATTTTGTGTCATTGAAAAAACAAAACAAAAACCAACCAATGAATCATTTCCCAACAGAAAGCAAATTTAATTAACAATTTTATAAATTATAAAATACAAATCGGACGTATTTAGTTTCATGATGCACCGCCAATGCTTCTCGATGTTCTGAGTTTTATGAATTTGGTGTTTACATTCTTCTTTCTGCTGGAAACTGTGCTGAAATTAATAGCATTCGGAATTAAGGTTTGTAACAACAGAATGAAAAAAACAAACGTAAATGATTAATAAGAAAGAAAAAAGAACAGAGAAAAGAAAACGCCAGAGAAAAAGACCATTGTTCCCTGAACTTTCGTTCGGAATCAGTTTTTGTAACATCATTTCGATTGAGTTTCCATTTTATTGTATTTTGATGCAGCAGTGAAGAGTTGTTTTTGTTTTTGTATTTTTGTTTTTGTATATCCCAATTGGGCCGACTTCGTTGCAATTAAATATAAAAAAAAATTTGATCAATTTGCGTATAAATTGTTTCATTTGATTACCTCTTGTAATTGTTTGATTGTTTCTGCAGTATTCGTTTCTGGTCCGTCTCCATTTTATAGCCAGATCTATTTATTGAATTTTAAATGTACGTTTTCTTCCATTGCGTGTTTCAAGTAAGATCAATGTCGAGATATTTGATGAACGGTTTACCGTTTAAGGGTGGCTTTTAAACGTTTTATCCTTCTTTTTTTTCATTTAGGAAACATTCACTTTATCTGTTTCTCTCTTTTTTCGCTATTTTTCGATGGCTATTTTGAACATTTTATCATACGAAAAGAATAAATTTAATTAATTGTTCAATGTAATTTTTCGCAAATCCCTTCAATTCCCCAATTATTGCTACGAACAATCGAAATTACAGACAAGAATTTTATTTGGAATTTTTAATAATTTTTTTCTTTCGCACCTCTTACGTTCGATAGGATATCCGTTCTTTTTTTCCGTAAACAACAAGGCGAAGATCTGTATATATTAGTTTGTTTGCGTATTATTCGAAAATGGAGTGATTGTTTTCGTTCTTAATTTGGACCAAAAAAATGAAAATATTTAACGAATTTGGTATTTTTCGATCTCCCGTAAAAATGCAATAGTAAAATGCACCATTACCATTTGTTAGTAGCTCAATTTAATTTTTTGGTTGTATCCATTCACCTTGATTTGTTTTCATTTGATTGAGTTTGTGTTTTTTTTTAATGAATAAACCAGCTTATCATAGATGAAACCCGATGGAATAGACAAGGGCTACTATAAATGCAGCTAAAAAAGAATTAAATAAGTTCCCATAGTATTTTTCAAGTTAATCAACTTTCAAATCACAATGTTTATTTTCATTTGATTTTTTTACTACTTTGATTCATCTATTCCCATTTTATATTTGTAGTAATCGAAAGAAAACCTTTTTTCGTAATTTTCCATGCGAAAGTATCTTCCAATTTTTTTTTTTTTTTGGCTAGACTTAATACGTAAATCGTCCAATTTTCTTAGTTTGTCATTTATACAAGCTTTAGAATAACAAAAACCCGTAATTCAACTAGAGCGCACGCAAATTTCTTTTTATTGTACAAGCCAAACTCGTACTGAACAAAATTGCCTAAGTAAAACACAAATATGTGAAGAAAAAAAAAGTCTGCAAAGGCGATGTTTTCAATCGGAAGCTTATTCAAACCCGATGATTGCTGTTATAGTTGTGGTCAGTAGGCAAATACACCTCGCATTTGTATGCAAAGTAGTAAGCATTAGAGACCAGGTATATGAACATTCAAGCTAAAAATCTGTACAAAAGAAGACGAGCTCCCTTCAACATCGGTATACAAAATAGTTGAGAAATAATGATGGATTGTTCATTTTCTGTACGACGCCTATAGATACACGTGCAAAGAAGAATAGCCGATTCCATCGGTTAGGTGCTCTAAACTGAACAACATCATGCTTCCGATAATAAAATAAAACGTCCAATAACAGTAAAGCTAGTTACAGTTGTAAAGAAAATAATTCAATGACATTTTCCATTGGTATGTAATATTCGATTGAAATCATCAGTTGAAATGGGCCATTGTATAAGATTAAGATCAAGATCAGGGTTCTTAGGTGCAATAGATGTCAATTTTTGCAATCATCATTTGTCGTGATGCTAATATATTTTTTTCTCCGTATGAAACTGCAGAACTTTTTCAAAGATGCGTGGAACGTGTTCGACTTCATCACTGTAATCGGTAGCATAATCGACGCGATGGTGCTGGAAATTGGGGTTTGTATCCAAAAACGAATGATTACCAACAAGTTTTATCGAATGTGAAACATTTTGCATCCGTTTGTTTTATTTTTCTTCAAACAATTTCGTTTCTATTTCATTTTATTCTGGTTTCTTTTTTCGAAATTAAATCAAATTTTCCATTTTCATTTACGTAATTTGTATACTAATTGAAATTTGAATGAATCAACATTTTTTTGTGAATAAAAAAAGATAATAAATTCAGTTTTATATTTTGAATAGTTTGCACCAGTTTCGAGTGAAATATTTGCTCACAGCATTTTTTTCTCTCCAATGGTTTTCCTTTTTTTCTTATCTATTGTAAACGCTTTTGCAATGACTCCAGTCGGAGACATGCAAAAGCAACACCATATTTTAACTCTTTCTTTCTCTTTTTTACACGGAATGCAATTAATCTGTCTCTTCTTTTTCAAAACACTTTTTTCGTGCTATTCATCTTGCATTTTACACACTGTTTTATATTGAATTGAATTTTATCATAAAATAATTATTTATCTGATTTTTTTTTCTTTATTGTGAATAATATTTGTACATTTTTACTGTAAAACACAATAATTTGACAATAATTAACCGAAAAAAAACAAACAACACTTACACACAACACCCACCCACACACATACACACACACACACACACACGAATCACAACTTCACTGGTCAAAATGAATATATACATATTGTTTATATTTTTATTACGAATTAAATGAAATTACGATGATCCGGCGACTGGATCTTGCGACTGAACGAATTACCGTCCAATTCAAACACACACACAAAAAAAAACATAAATATTATCCGATAAATCAATCAATCACACACACAAAATCAATCGAAAACGTTTAGACATCTGTTGATTTTGAGGTAAAACATAATCCTGATTTTGATAGTTTACCCTTTGTCCAGCCAATTCCTCGCAAACCGGTAATTTAATTCATAGTTATTTTGCGTTTATATTTTTATAGCATTGCTGTTCGGTGGTGGCTAAATGGAATATTTAACAGATCTATGTGTCCAATTTGTTCAGTTCAATTCATATTGGATCAATTCAATTTTTGATAATCATGATAATTTTGCACCAGAAAACAGTTCTCGCAACGAACAGCAATGTTACTTATTGTTAGGCTAGATTTAGCTCGACTAATGGTTATTCTTCTTGATATTGAGTAAACTATTTGTTTTGTGAAAAGCGCAAAACGCACAGAAAGAATTAAAAAAAACACGAAACCATCCATACACAGAAGACTAAGCAAAGCCGTCTCTCTTAGGTATCAATCCAATTGTCGATTGCGTTTATTTGGTGTAGCCGTACAGGACATTTGTAACAAAGTTACTTAATTGTGAGACAGAATTGAAACGGACAGAGTATTTTTTTGTGATTTGCAAGCAATAATCCAAATAACAATCCAAATCAAAGGCAGCCATTTAAATAGACAAAGCCATATATATACTGATTTGCATTAATTTTTGATTCATAGATTCCATCGTATAATCAAATCATTTTCGAATTAGATTTTCTTTTTAGTGAAAGAAGCGTTTAGAAGCTGCGTTTCTACATATTAATCAATAGTTCATCTCTTCAATTCTCAATGACTTTATATTTACTATCTGTTAGAAATCGCCATATAATCGAAATAGCTAGAAATACCAAAAAAAAAAAACCAAACATATTCAAACACACACACACAAAACACCGAAAAAAAGCACAGAAACACAAATCAATCACTGCATGTCCGAATGTGAGTGTATGAATTTCTCAGTTGAACCGAATTAAATCGCATGTTTGATTAAATTGTCGAAATTTCTGTTTTGATTTTTGCCACAGAATGATTTTGTTCTGTGCATTAATTTGGTATTCTTTTTTCGAGAACATGATTTAATTTACTTCTATCTTCATTTCAAATTTAAAGTTTCAATTTGATAACAACGAAGATTCATCTGAGTTTATGTTTAAACGATTAGATTCTTCGTTGCGAATGGTAAAATGGTATTAAATTTCTGTGCACATGTTTAGTTGTTCCTATCCCCCCCTTTGCTGTTGGAAAGTCAATGGTTTAGGCGTGTTGTTTTTCTCCTTTGTTTTTTGTCGTAGTTTTCGATGTGCATCGCACAAGAACGCACACGCACATATTTTGAATAGTAAAACTGCTTTCCCACCACAACTGCACCAATGTCAAACACCAAATCCACACTCTTTAGATAAATGTTTAGATTAAAATCCCCTATCAAAATGAACTTTAACATAATACATCTCAACGCCTAACCAAAATCGAATTGATGCTAATGGAAAATCCGTTCTTTTTTGATCATTCACATCGTTCATCCGAAAAATAAAAACAATGATCAGGCCAATACGTTCAATGTTGGCTTTTTGCGTCTGTTCCGTGCGGCCCGTTTGATTAAATTGCTGCGCCAAGGATACACCATTCGAATTCTGCTCTGGACCTTCGTTCAATCGTTCAAAGCTTTGCCGTATGTCTGCCTGCTTATCGCAATGTTGTTTTTCATTTATGCCATCATCGGAATGCAGGTACACAATTTTTATTTTCACTTTTATTGCCAAAAAAACAACAACATGTATTTGTGTCGATTTGAAATTATCTGCAAATGATGATTTCATGATCAGACAATTTTTTTTTTCTCTCTATTTTTGTGTCTATCTTTGTGTATGTGTTTAATGCCGAAGCCAAACAAGAGAATGTAATCAAATCAGAAGCGAAACACTCTTTTTTGGCTTCTGCTTCTCTTTCATCAAATAAATGAACGAAAAACAAAAAATTGATTGGACAAAAATAGGGAAACATATTAGGAAAATTCTAGTAAAGGACGAAAAATATAACAAAAAATTTGAACCAATAGCGATAAAAAAAAAATTCATCGAACCGTTTAAAATTTTATATATTTATTGTGATACGTGACACTATACACTGAATCAATTAAACTAAACAATCTAGATTTTAGCGTAGTGAAGGATGAATTGTTTATCCATCCATTCAAATAGAACTAATATACACTTTTAGTTTAGCTAATCAATATTTAATCATTTAAAACCAAAAAAAAAAAACAAACTAACATCAATATTTACCACCAAATTTACCATATAATATTTATATATTATTCGTTCGACTGCAATTTCGACAATCAACCTCTCTCCCTCCACAAAACACGCGCACACAATCAAATTTGAACACACACACAACCCAAAAAAACCGAATTCATGTTATTCCATGTGTGTGTATAAGGTTTTCGGAAATATGAAGTTCGATCCAGCAACGGCGTTGAATCGACACAACAATTTTCAGACATTTTTCGGTGGCCTTCTACTTCTCTTTCGGTAATACAACAATATCTCTGCTGTGCAAAAATCATCTCTACTACTTCTCTTTTAAGTTTTCCATTTTATTGGCTGCCACACTCGAACTCTTTCGATGTGGCTTGTATTTTTTGTATAAAAAAAAACCAGAACCATCACACAGTTTTTTCGTCCCGATCATTTTTTTTTTCATTTCATTTTCCAATTCCCAAGAAAAACCAGTTGACATTTATTTCAGTCTTGTTTGTGTAATTTAAAGAAATAAACCCTAGATGAAAACCAAAACCCTTTGTGCAAAGTGTATTGTTGATATCGTGCCGTTGAATTCCTCTTACGTATAGACCTATCTTTATACATATCTGTTATAATAACTCGCATCATTGCGATATACACAAGTATCTGTTTGATCGTAGAGTTGAACATTTTTATTAGTTGTAAATTTGAATAAAATTATCGATTTGAATGACTCAGTAAAAGCAAATCCAGTAGGTATTACAAACCAGAAAATAATACTATATCATTACGTACAGTTGAACGCAAACAATCAAATATATTAGCATAAAATGTTATTTTTGCACAATACTGTAAATGTCACTCAATGCAAAAACCAACATGAAAAATGGATTATTATTGCGACCATTTTCTTGATTCAAAATCAAATCCCACCCAAAAAAATGAACTAAAACTATAATTTATAGACCCGTTGAGTTGAAAAAAAAACGTATTTTGTCCCTTACGTCTGAGATAGTCAGTCGCATGCTGTACATAGAAATGAAAGAACAAAAGTATGCCATAGACGAATGAACATGGACTAGAAAGTGAAGCAGCGAATGCTTCCAATGATCACAATTTATTTAGATGAATTTCATGGCGATGAAAGCATCACGACCTTTACGCGGTTAGCAAAATACGAAATAGACACATTTGTTTAGGCTTAGATTTTTGATCCAATCAAATAAACAAACGAATTCATGATATTGTTTAAGCTAAGGCAAAACATTTCTTTGTTACACATCATAACAAACATGTTAGGAGCTCCAATGATAAAATACCGAAAAAAAATCAAATATTTTTTTCTTCTTCTTCTCCTTTCACTGTCTCTTTTTTCTCTTCTTTTGAAAAACATCAATGTTGTGTGTTTGTGTTTACCGTGAAAAACAAAACCAAATTTATTTCCAAAAAATATGCTCAAAACCAAACATTTTTATGCATTTTTTTCTGCATATGCACGTTCGTTCGCATTTTCAACCGAAACAAAAAAAAAACAAATCAAAACCTCAAAACTATTTCCAAACCCGAAACTAAAACACAATTCAAATGCGATTGGCCTGTTGAACAATATTCTCAACACAAAAATTCTCCCGTCAAAATCTCGAATCGAAAAAAAAAAACGAAACGAAAATAAAAGGTTTTTGGAAATATCGCTCTATCGCCCGAAACCGCCATTACAAGACACAACAATTTCCGATCGTTTGTACAAGGATTAATGCTACTGTTCAGGTAAGTGCGAGTGCTATCGCTGCACCACAACTACTACAAATTAAGTGAATTTTCTGTCTCTCTCTCTCAATCTCTGTTTTTCTCAAAATCAAAATATTTATTTTTTCGTTGATTTCTTCTTTTTTTGTATTCAGTTTACTTACTCAATTGGTGAATAGACTAGGTTTTTCAAAACGAAACATTGGCTTTATTATTATTTGAACAACGATCATTAGATGATGGAAAAATAGATTTTTTTACCAATTTTTCCGAGAAAAAAATCAATAATCAATTTTTTTCTAGACAATCAGTGTCCGATTCGCTCCCTAGCGAGTGTTTATACATTTTTCTTCTTTTTTCAACATAGAATTTAACAGAAAACCAATTAAAAACTACTAGCAATATAGATTTTTTTTTACTTTTCAAATGGCGAAATGTTATTCACTTTTTATAGACTCTGGCCATGTGAAAAACAACGAGCATTTAGAAATATGCCAGAATAAACACTAGACAATAGGATTATTTATTCGGTATTTTAGGCTGAACACTAAAATTATTTACATGGATTAGATCAAAATTCAGCACACGATGTTAGGATTATTGAAGATGAATCCGATTCAGGTATACCAAACAACAGCAAATCAGTGAAAAAAATATTTGGAAAAAAAAACATCAATTCGTCATTCTTCATCTCAGACACAAAGTGAACATTTGTGTATCGAGTAGAAAATGTTGTTTTTAGCCTATCTTTAGGTATACATATATACTTTTGTGTAGCATTTTTTAACTGTAATTTTACTCCATTAGCCTAGCTCAAAATGTTGAATATCGATCATTTGAAACATTGGCGTTTTGAACCCAGTAATTCTTTTCAATTGTATATTATCAACAGTGTACAAATGTATCAATCAAAATTTGAAAGGAAAAATTAACGATATAAACTAGATTCATAATCGAGATGTAATAATTTCCGATAAATTTTATAATTTAGATGAAATAAATAAATTAGCTTAAAAATCTATCTAAAGCACAGAACGAAAAAAAAAAAACCAATTGAACATTTTGTAATTTGAAAATAATCCTCTGTGCTCTAAACTGAATAAAAAAAATAACATTTTATTTTGTTTAGTGTATTAGACATTGAATTTGTACGCATAATCATAATTTGCAACTTAACCAATGAAATCGAAACGCATAGTTGCAATGATTACTATACTATTTAATCGATTTTTTTTTGAATATGTTGAATATTGAAACCATTTTATCCTACATATATAATATCCTCCATCATTTTTGTCCCATTGAATAGATTGTGCTGTTCAATTTTGATTTTTTTTAAAAATAATAATCGACCTTTTTTTCAAATACTGTTAGTATATGAAAAACTATATACATATATACGCAACAATTAGCTTAGATTTAGCGCTCAATTTACTAGCCCAACTATGAGTTTAGATTATCTCTTCTGTTCCATTTAGCCATTCAAATACCTTTCCATCTTAGTTTTTTCGATGCGCAGAGAAATGAACAACGATTTGTACAATTTAAACTTGATTTTTATGTCAGCCCAAGCGTGACTCCACACTCAACTTCTAAATATGATACCTAGCTAAGTGTGAGCATTCATCGTCCGAATAAGCGACAAAGAGAATGAACACAATTGCGCGTGTATTAGTCGCTACATTTATAAGCATCACATCAGGCTACACACTAACACACGCGCACTTGTGTTCATTCTCTTTGTCGCTTATTCGTGCGACGAATGCTCACACATAGCTAGGTGTCACATTTGAAAGTTAAGTGTGGAGTCGTGCTTGAGAGTCTTTGTTCGTTCTCCGCTGCCATTTTGCTTCGAAGAATTTTTAATTTGTCGCTTCTGAAAAAATCGACATTGGCGAATGAAACTAATGAAATGCCCCTTTCTGAACCTATTTAAAAAATAGGTGCGCGACAGGCGAGGCTTGGCCGAACATTATGTTGGCATGTCTTAAAGGTCCGTGTGATTCCAAGTCAGGCAAGCAAGGCGAAGACTGTGGATCACCAATAGCATATGCATATTTCGTGTCCTTCATTTTCTTTTGCTCGTTTTTGGTAAGAACAATCTACATCCAATTATTCTTAATTCACAATCCGTTTTTTTCTCTCAAAACAGCACCTCTTCAGCATTGTATATTACTAATAATAATAAAATCAATTTGCGAATATTTTCTTTCATACAATTTTAATCGTGTCATGGAATGCTGCAATCCATTTTCATGCGACGTATAATTTTAGATGTTGAATCTATTCGTGGCCGTCATCATGGATAATTTCGATTATTTGACAAGAGATTCAAGTATTTTGGGCGCGCATCATTTGGATGAATTTGTGCGCATTTGGGCTGAATACGATCCGAACGCAACGTAATCCATTTCATTTTTCTCTTGCACATTTCACCATAATTCATTCCCACCAGTGGGGACTTTGTTAATGTCGTTTCTTTTTCTAACTGGTTTCGTTATTTCAGGGGCAAAATACACTATACCGAAATGTATGATATGCTAAAGAACATAGATCCACCTTTAGGTTTTGGTAACAAATGTCCGAACCGCCTCGCCTACAAGAAGCTGATCCGAATGAATATGCCGCTGGACGAAGAGAAGCGCGTGAATTTTACGACAACCCTATTTGGATTGATTCGCGAGAATTTAAATATAAAAATGCGACCCGCCGACGAAATGGACCAAGCCGATGAAGAGCTTCGTGAAACCATCCAAATGATCTGGCCTTTTCAAGCGAAAAAGATGCTCGATCTACTTATCCCACGCACTGACCGTTTGAACAAAATGAATTTGACGGTGGGGAAAATCTATGCCGGCCTCTTGGTACTGGAATCGTGGAGGAATACGAAATTCGGCCAAATTGAAAGCGGAATACCGGTAAGCCAAGCCAAGCCAAGCCAAGCCATTGCATTTATTTACTTAGCAAGCAAAACTCTTTGAGTTCAGATAAAAAAAAAGCAACAAGAAAACGATCAACACCAGACTCATACAGAGTTCTTGGTTGAAAAAAAAAATAATCTAGGGACATAAACTGTAACTTGATTGTTTTTTTTTATAATGATTGCATTTTAAAGGAAAACTCAAAATTTGATTGGCTTTAATCATTGATTAAAAAAAAAATGAAAATGAAAAAAAAATCCACAATTTTCTGTTCGTAAATAATATTTGTTGATCACCCTTTAAAGTATTGGCTTTAGTCTATTTTTTTAACGTAACAAAAAAAAACACGAAATTGCTCAATTTAAACTGTGTGCGAATAAATGTTAAATATCGATGTTGTTAGCGCCCACAAATAAATAAAAAAACCAGACAATTACATTCTCACAGTATTTCGTTTTCGTAAGTCGAAAAGCAAAAAGCGTATGCCGTTGATTTAATTTATCGATTTGCAAAATAATCCAACATGTATTTCCAATCACCAAAATGTGTGTGTGTGTGTATTATAACCCAGTGGGCAATATCAAGAGTAATCATTTTTAAAGCTAGATTTCGATTATTTGCTATCGAACCGTTTGAATTTCGTATTTGTACCACTTGCCACTTTTGCCGTAGACTATTTCATGTCTAAATGTTTTGAATATTATTCCTCCCCAGTACAACAGAAAAAACAAACAAACTCTATTTAGATACAAAGTCCCCCTTTCGAATCGTACAATCCAATCTGTCGACAAATACCATGTCGAAGTTCCCATAGTTAGGTCCAAAATACAAAATGGGCTTCCTTTTTGTAATTTTGATGTGTTTTTCTCTCTTTCTTTCTTTTGATAACGGTAATAAAGTAAACAAATATGTGGACAATGTGTTTCTTTTTAACAAAGCAATAACAACAAAAGATACAAACAGTAGAATTAAATGTTTATCTGCAGATGTCAAGAATATCGTGGAATGACGCACATGAATGTAATTCTCGTACAAGTTAACTGTTTCGAATCTTATAATCTAAAAAAACACGCACATTAAAAAAAAGACTTTCTCTGAATATGTTCAACGACGTAGCAAAGAATATAGCAGAAAATATACGTAATTTGAGGGCATAAATTAAACATAGTTTAAACATATTTTTTTTTTTTTTGAACTGAAAATGTACACACAAATACAAAACATTAGAGAAAAAGTAATCGTTTTTGACCCATTCTTAAAATGACAAATTAAAAGTGGAAAGACATTCGATCGATTCACATGTGAATGCACCATGCATTTGATGCACCAAATTCACATATATTCATTAGATATACAGAGGAAAAATTAGCACTCAAAACGATTACATTTTCTATCATCAACACATCTTCTATTTAATCCTTGCATTCGATAGAAATCATCATATATTTGACATGTTCTTTTCTTTCTCTCTTTCATTGTTCGTCGTGATTGATGAAACGAACTTAAATACCAAATCCATAACAAAAAATAATACCGCAAATGCAATAATTCATGATAATCCATACAAAAATTTCAATCGTCAACTAAATCGAAACTAAAAAAAAAAATTCAAATGAAATCGCGTCGTCTTCGTCGTCACTTCGCTTATTTTCAACGCGAACATCGCCAAACAGACGAAAGAGGCAAGCAAAACAAGTCCCACATCCAAACAGGCGGTATATTCATTGATTTATTTAATTTGTTTTTTTCTCTCTCCACTTATGTTACACCGACATAAATCGTTTTTGAACTTCTTTAGTTGCATAGAGCATAATCGAAAATTGTCAATTTTATATTACGATATATATTGTTTCCGTTTCTTTTCCAAATTTCCTTCAAATTCTTTTTCCGCTACTACTCGTTTGTTTTCTTTCTATTGTTACTCTCTTGGACAATTGTTCTATCGATTTTATTGTTCGTTCAAATTTTTTGTGAATCTTGTATGAAAATCTGTACAGAAATTGTTTCAATGAAACGTCAAAATCAAAATTCGAATCGTATATTGTAATATGATTGATTCAATAGCAAGCCTTTTTCTTAGTTCCGACGATTTTTGTTTTTTGTTTTTGTTCTTGTCATATAACGAAAGAGAAAAAACATAACAACAACACCAACTAACCGATCATTTAGTCGAATGCTTTCGTCTCGTTTTCTTCATTATTTTTTTTATTCATTTATTGGAATATATCGAATGATTCATGCTCTGGTCGCGAATTGTAATGCGTGCAGACGCAAAGCTTTGCAAGTTTATTTACGATTTTATGCCCCTTTTTTGGAATGAGATTCGTCGAATTTTTCTCCTGCATAGCAAAATTGGCTTTTAAAAAACATCGATTGAAATTTTGGGGAAACAAAGAAAAAACAAACAGGAGAAAAATTCAATTCCATCTAATTTGAATGCAACAATCCAGAATAATAACCGACGCTTATGTTTTTTTTTTCAACTGAATGAGATTTTATGATCTCCTGCTCTCTAATGTCCATGACTTCGTTTCTCTCACTCAATATCCTTCCTTCCAATGGAATGACCAATTTACTTTTTTCTGGAATGATTCTTTTGCCTACATCTCCTGCAAATGACAACACTGCCCAATATCAAATCCAATAAATTCATTTCTCAAGCTCTAGCATAGCATCTTCTAGAATAGATTTCAATTTGCACACACAACACACCACATATATATATACTTACATATATTTTATCTGGGAATATTCAAAATTACAATTTAGGAAAAGAAACCAAAACATTGGAAATGAAAAAAGAAAAGAAAGAAAGACTTAGAAATTTCTTGATATTTACATTGAAAATAAGAAATGTTATATTTGTCCTATATTTGATAGAATAACTGATTTTAACCCGTATCACTGTTATTCGTGAGTCGACCAATTTGTTGAATCGGTTGACTCATGTTGTTCGGCACACACCATTCTTCTTTCTCTAGACATTTTTAGTCATTGAAATGCCTGACATTTTTCTTTCTTAGAAAAAATGCAGTCATAGTTGTGGTATTTTTTTTAAACCTTAGGCATTTCCCCCATGTAGATTGTTTCTGTTTTGTATCGAAACATTTTGAGAATGAACACCAACAATTTTGAACTTCCCTAGGCAATTGAGAATGCAATTCGAATGCAAGTGGTTAGCACTTTTTTCTGCCGTTTTTTTTTCAGCGGCATTTTTTATGCATGATTTGACATTTTTCTAATAAAATTTGTTTTGATCCAATTTTAATGAATAAAGCTAAGTACACAGTTCCTCGTGAAATGAAAAAATTTCTCCGATGAAATTTTCACCAGTGATCTTTGTATCAAGTTTTTTTATATTCAAATTGCAAGTATAATGATTTTTGATGTATAAAACAGTTAGCTGCTATCATTATCAACACAATACACCAATAAATTTGTGTTTTGAATTTATTCTTCTATATATTTCGGTCACAGCAAATTTTTTCACGGTCGTGAAATTTTTTTCTCGTGCATTTTGCACGCGAAAATTTTTTCACGACCGTGAAAAAATTTGTAGAGGCGAAAATAAATAGAAGAATAAATTCAAAACACAAATTTATTGATATGTTGTGTTGATAATGATAGCAGCTAACTGTTTTATACATCAAAAATCATTATACTTGCAATTTGAATATAAAAAAACTTGAAACAAAGATCACTGGTGAAAATTTCATCGGAGAAATTTTTTCATTTCACAAGGAACTGTGTACTTAGCTTAAATGATGAAATCTCACATTTTCTTTGATTTGAAAGGAAAAAAAATTGGCATTGAAAAATTGCCAATATACAGTTTTATACCGAAACAACGAAAGGATGCAATAATTCAAAGCTAATCTGTCTTCATTGGCAAAGCAATAGAAAGCAAAGGAAATGAGATTTGGTCATTTATTCATATTGCACGCTTTTATGAATTTATTCAAATTTGAAATGAAAACTCTATTAATAACCAATTGTATAAAACTGCATAAACTACTAATCAAAATCACAAAACAACTATTTTTTTCAATTTTCAATGAATTTTCTTTAAAATTTGCTTCATTACATTTTTCTTACTTCAACAAAAAATTTTAAAATACACACAACCACACCAATCAATCCAACACAACAAAAAAAAATGTAAAATAAACCAAACCAAAAACACAAAACCAAAACAAACAATCCGTCACACACAACAACCATCTCTGTCATCATCTATCTTCTACCACCTTCTAAAATAAATCGTGTCATCGAATATGGTAAATTTCGAAATGGAATGCGAATAAAAATTATGGGGGCTTCACAAACTAAACGAACGAAAAAAAAATCACGTAAAATGCGCACACAAATACAAAAACACACCCATTCACCCACCACAAACACTCACAAATGCACGGAAATATTGTTGCTGGGTGCAGCAGAAACAATCGTTCTTTAATTGTTTGCTGGATATGGCCGCAATGGAAAAGACCAATTCACGCGCTGGTTCGATAAACATAGATGTCGATGTTGGTGGTGGTGGTGGTGTTGTTGCTGGTGGTGGTGGCAACGCTAGCTCACAAACACAATTGCTACATGGGCAAAATGGTAGTACCGAAGAGCGGTCAAGTCTATCGCAACTGGCTCGGCACAGCACCATCCGAAAACGCTCTTTGCGGTAAGTAAATTCGCATGCAACCGGCGAGCTCTTGCTATCTCTCTCACTCACAAAATCACTCGCCCAATCAATCATGCAGCCAAATTAGACTAACGCAATCTCGTCTTTTTCGCTTCTCGTTTCAGGAGTAAAAAGGTGATAACCACATTACGTAATATACAATTACCAAACCAGAAAAAAAAAAACAAACCAAAAATTATTCAGTTCTTTGTTTTATTTTATTCGAATGAGGGAGGAAATCATTAATTGATTAACAAGACAGTCGCTTTCTAAGTGTCTATTGTCATATTTATCTCGAGAAGGCGTATAGTGTTGTATGTTTCCCGTGTCAACTAAAAAGCTACTTTTTTTATTTTTTTTTATTTTCTGTTCTGAATCCACTTAGTTTTGAGTTGGCAAAACAAACAAATGACAAACCGGTTATTGTTTATACATTCTCTTTATTTCGCGTAAATTTTGTATTTGACATCATTATTATGATTTTTTCGGTTTTTTTTTTATCGTAAAAACACTTTTCGTTCATCTTTTGTGGTTTCGTTTGTTAATTGATATATTTGATTTTGTAATATTTGTGGGACCCCTCCAATAATTTTGTGATCATAATCAATTTGAATTAAATGTGTGTATAATTACTGTGTTCTAATTTGGCAAACGAACAATAATATATAAATTATCATTTTGAGATACTTAGAGCCAAAGTATAAACAAGTAGTTAACGATAAATTCGATCCTTGACATTCAAAACGCTAAATAGAATTCACATTCAAGTCGATTCAAAATGGATTTTTGTTCTAGACTCCTTTTCATTTTTTCAACAAACATTTTTTTCGGGAGAAATCAAATAGACGAAATTGATCAGCCAATTAGAATTTTGATAATATTTACATCTAATTTACTTTTTATTCGAAACGTAGACTTCGTTTGACAAAACGTCGAGTAGACGGTACGATTGTGTCTGGCTGAACGTAGAATTTACAGCCAAAACAAGTAACCATTTAGATTGAAATTAGCCGGACTAGCATCGCAACGCATCGTATCATTTAAAAAAAAAAATATCCGAAAAAAAAACTCGTGAATATCAAATCATATTTGAGGGCCTGAGAGTGAAAGTGACCAACAAAAAGTTGAACGTAAAAGTGACCTAACTTCGTACAAAAAAACGTGACGGTAGCATGTGTTTCGTATGGAGTTAGGTCACTTTTACGCTCAACTTTTTGTTGGTCACTTTCACTCTCAGGCCCTCATTTGTTTTTCGTAGGAAACATTTTGCAAATCATTTTCAATGCTAGAAAATCGTGAACATTGTTCACTGAACAATCAAATCAAAATATGTGTAATGATTTTTCTTTTGTTTTTGGTAAGTACAGATGGTCACTGTTTATTAGCAAAACAGACAGACTAACAAAAATCGACAATTATCCAAAAATTCATCACCTGAATTCTCTCTTTCTCTCTCTCTCTCTCACAAACACACACAATCGGATTTCACTCATAACTACTGTTTTCGCCCCATTCGAAAATGAAACTATTTATCACCTGAATTTCTTCCTGCTGAAATTTCTGTCAAAACACTTAACAACTACAACTAAATTCTAATAAAAAAAAATCAGTATCCATTCGCAATCAAGCAATTCATCTGAAAACATTTATACATTGGACCTACTAGTACATAGTGTAGAAACATTTTGAATACATTGCATGGTTTGTTCCATTTATCCTTAGCTTTCCTGCATTTAACCAGTACCCATTTGAAACATGTATATACAAAGTAACAGCCAAAACATTTTTTTTAACATTCTTCATTATTCTAATGTAAATAACATTTGATTTTCGTTAGAAAATAGAAAACTTAGCTTGCTGATTGATTTCTTTTTGAAGCCCCATTAGTGCACTAATTTTTTTTTTACCCAATTGCATGACAACCAATTTCATTGTTGAGGCTCTTACATTCTGTAATCGACTTTTTCGCTCTCGCATTTGTGATTACATTCAACTTAGATATGTAGAGTAGAAATGCCTAATGAGATTACACCGGTATTCATACCAACAACTGAAAATATAGGACAAGTTTAAGCAAAGAACAAATATATACAAGCCTTAACACAAATAAGGATCAATTTTTTTTTTAGCAATTTAAGCAACATGTAATTTTATATATAGTAAATGATCTAGTTTCCAGTGTTCTGATCTAAAATCCCGAACTTCAACAATGATTTCATTGGAATTTGTTATGTTAATGGTTAACTAAAATGTTCATTGTTATTTTTTGGGTTGGGTGAACAATGTTTAGATGTTGGAATTACAAGACATTGGATCGAGACAACCTTCGATGGAGTCATTGACGGGTGCGCCCGATGGATTACATTTGCATCCAGGACATCAGTATTCGAGTCGACGATCGCCTAGTTTAAGGTTTGTATCATTTAGTTCAACGATTTTCAGCTTGAATCATAGGTCACTAGGCACTTTAACACATTTTCCACGAAGTTTTCGAGCAATCGAACATTTTCCATAGAATTTCTCATAAGAAATCGAGAAAATTCAAAAACTTTTCTTGCAGACGATCTGGATCGCCGCTGGTTCGAACTCCAAGTCCGCGTCGACGCAACCATTTGCATCCCCACCATGATGTCGGTTTCTCCGATACGGTATCAAATGTTGTGGAAATTGTGAAGGAAGAACGTGGACATCATCGTGGCTACCGGCCAAATGGTCGATATCCTCGAGGTACGAGCTTCATATATACATATTTGCCGCACATATTTGGTTTATGAACTTTTCAAACCCATTTCAAAAACACTTTGGATTCGATTTTGTTTTCGTTACTTTTTTTTCTTTGTTGTCTGATTCAAACCTTTGTTTCAATCTTTGGTTGTTCTTCTCAAACAAATGATTCGTTGATTGGTTATTTTTGTGTTATCTTTTGTATGATCTCGAGTGCGTGTGTTTCGAATTAGATTTTTGAGAAGAAAAAAATGAAGAATGTGATTTTTTGCATTCTAAATGTGTAAATTTGATTTATTTTATCGAAACCAGAGATTGCATTTTTGCTGCTGAGTAGGCCTGAGCTAAGCTGAATTTGCTAACTCAGGCGCCTGAAGCGTTATTTTAACGCATTCACAGTACAAAATTCATATTCCCAGCCAGATCATTCTCAAATTTGACTTGGCAAATCTGGCTGGGAATATGAATTTTGTACTGTTAATGCGTTAAAATAACGCTTCAGGTGCCTGAGTTAGAAAATTCAGCTCAGCTCAGGTCTACTCAGCAGCAAATATGCAATCTTTGATCGAAAACCAACCAATTAATTTCCATATTTTGATCTCCCTTCAAAGTAAACTGTTTGAATATCCCACCTGTCAAAATGATTGAAATGAAAAAAAAAATCATATCCTTGGGAAACGTTCAGGTCAATTTCAGTCGAACTGTCTATTTTTTTGGTTTTTGGCCAAAAAAAGAGAACGCATTACTGTGAAGTAGTGAATGGCTTAGATGCGGCCTGAACGATATTTTAAAGGATTCAATGTTGTTTTGTCATCATTAGCACACACCGAAGTACTAACATTTGAAGCATATAACCAATATTTATAATGTGTTTTGTAGAATTCATGGCCCTCTTGAAGTGAAACCTCCCCAAAAATGCATTACCTGTTTCTGTGTGCACTTTCAATTGATTCGAACGAAAAAATAAAATAAAAACAAAATAAATTGCAGTTGCTTCGACATTCTATGCTTCAGTAGATTTATGATTTCAATATGTTTGTTGTTGCTGCTAGCAGTAGAAAAGAAAAAAAAAGCGCTTTGCAAGTCAAAAAAGTTTTTTTTTTGTTCAATTACTGATAAGTTCTGTATACGGAGTTCGAAGTTTAAAACATATTTATAATAATTGTTAGATGACCATTACTATACTTTATTTGTTCAATTTCTTAACTCTCTATCGAAATTCTTCCAACTGTCCAAACTGTTCCGTTTGTCACCAAAAGAAACCGTCTCTCTTTTTTCATTTTGTGGTTGTGTCGGATGATCTGAACTAATAGTGTCCATTGCATTAGTAAGCATTTGTCAATTCTCTTCGGTAACGAAGAGTCGACAGATCGTGTTCAAATTAGAAATAAAAATGAACAAATAGAATTTGAACCTTTGTAAGAAATTATCGCCCGCTTATGAGATACATATATACATATATATTGGATCATAGAGTTTGACTGTATACAAACAAATTGGATATACAATATACAAATCTATATAAAAAAAATACAAAATCATACTATATAGTAGACGATATATACACCAGAAAACGAACAACACTCACTCGTATCCTATTTAGTTTTCTTTACTTCCTTATTTTCTCAATTGATTTTCCTTTTTTTGAGTTTCAAAACTCATACACAAAAATACTCTAACAAAACCAATTCAAAAAAAAACAAAACAAAAAAACACTTGAAACCATGTGACACTTACAACAGAGAAACACACAGACACTCATACACACACACACAAACACTGTATACTACTTTACTGAATCTCGAAATCCAAGAAACTTGGACCAAAAAAAAAATTGTCCTGGTTCAAGTATGATTTGTAGAAACACACATACACCAAACAGAATACATACACAGAACAGCCAGCTCAAACAAACAAACCCTAAACTGATGTATATTTAGGTTCATGGTCGGCATCAACAAGCCCAGCCAGATCACCATCACCATCATTACGTTACACACACGGTGGTCATCATCGCGGCAAACCAAATCAATTTCCTCCCACGTACGGTACGACAAGTCTATGTCAAAGATCACGTTCACCGAGTCCGGCTCGTTTACAGGAATTGCGTGAAAGAGGTAGACTTGCGAAATGGCATACTTTTTTTTCCTGTTCAAATCGATTATAAAAAAAAACTCTGAACTGAAAAACAACAGCAACTATAACTCACTTTCTATCTTTTAGTCTTCCCTCTCTCTATATATCTATTCTATCTATCTTATATGTATTTCTATATCTTTCTCTCTGTCTTTTCGTCTCGTTTTCTGTTTCTTTATTTTTTTTTTAAATTTGTCTTTGATTTTGATTTGAATTTTTACTTGTTCTTTTTTTGTTATAATTCCGTTTCGTTCCGTTCGATTTGTTTAGTTTTCCTCGACTTTATATTACCAATTTAGTCCATCGAAGCAAACAATGAAACAAAAATGCATCTGACACTATACACTGATTTCTCACTGTTATCGTTATTCAAAATTTTGTTGGAGCGAAAATGAAATTTACCAAAAAAAAACTGTTCTCGTCTATAATCTATCTCTATCTAACCATTGAGCTAGAGTTGAATTCAAAAGACTATGACTTGCAAATTTGGAAAGAACAAACATATTTGGGATATTCTTAAATGAGGCAGACACTATAAATAATAATCTCTGCATGCATTCTGTTTTCTATCTCTTTCTCTACATTTTAAGTGTGTGCCATTTGCTTGATTGACATCACCAGTGCACCATCAATATTTTGTGTTTCATTTCGTTCATTTGCATTTGTTCGATAGATTGATTTTGTTTCTTTTTTTCGTTCATTATACCATCTAACTTTTATCTGTCCATTCTGTACATTCCATTTTTTTTTGGATTTGCTTTATTTTCTTGTCTTTCACAATGGCAAATGTAAACAATTTAAAATATTCTCTTTGGATTTTGATTTTCTCGTCAAAAGTCAAATGAAATGTCATGGCACATTTCCAAAGCAAATATTTACATGTGATTCTGTTTGAATTTTAAAGGTGGTCATGATGTACAACATAGTTATCCGGTATTGGTACAACGACGAGGCCAAGGCCGAAGATTGCCACCGACTCCATGTAAACCATCGACACTTCAACTGAAACCATCGAACATCAACTTCCCGAAATTAAATGCTAGCCCAACACATGTAAGCCATCGTCAGTCGCTTGACGAATCAAACCCATTGAACGACAATTTGCAACTCCTAAAATGATCGGCGATTGCTTTCTCATTCAGTTTTATTCACAGACACATCATTCGACGCCACACAGTGTTCATTCGTTGCCACATTCACGCGAATTCATTCGAGACAACAAAGATTACTACTTTCGGGATAAAGACAGGGATTCTCGTAGAGAACTTTTCCGCGACCATCGTGGACCAACACGTTACATCGCCAGAAGTCGTAAGTTGCATTTTCTGTGGTCCAAGAAGAAAAAAGAATGGTCAAAAAAACTGTCCAAGAAAAAAAGTTCACCTAAAAATCGACTCATTTCTTCCCAATGGGAATAATCTTGTCAGATGTCGCTCTAGTGCTTCAATTCGTGTTTCATTTTGGTAAACATCAACAACCACACAGATCTTACGTTGTTTCTCTCACAGAGATACACAAACACGAATGCAGTGTCCGCAAACATGATATATTTCGGTATCTGTCGCTCTCTGTGTCATCTATAGTGATGCGTAATACAGAAGATAAACGATAGTACAATATGATCGATTGTCCCTTTCACACTTCAATGAGCGTGCGTAATACGCTACAACCGACGCTTGAATGAAGGATGACCAACACGTATTGAAATGAATAGTTATTTATTTGTATTGTCATAGCTCACAGTGATGCTCACTGCTCACGGTTGTATGAAAAAGGCAACAAGCCATATTGTAGTATCTACCGATTTTCATACCACACACTAACATGAATTATTCAGAAAAATGAAACGCAGACACCGTATCGGTATTTACATGTTTTGAGCGTGTTCCTTTGTGTGTGCGAGTGTAAAGTATTTGAATTCTTATAATTGAGAACCAAATCCTAACGGGATGTTTTTGACAAATATACACTTGCAATAGCGGCATGCGATAGCATTCGGCCACACCACACATCGGTCACAACTGTAGGAAGAATGAGGATTCTTCTGTATATGTATTGTATTGAGTCTGATTTGTAGGCATTGATATGCGCCGCCTCTTTCGGGATAATTTTCGACTGGGGAATCGTCTGGCATGTTCTTTGTTTTAAAGTTTTTAAATGAAAATTGGCAAATATATAACAATCGAATTTCCAAATTCTTTTCCGCAGTGGAGTACGATGATTCAGACTATGACATGCGATATGAGTATAGAGACCGAGAAAGAGAATTATATGAATTGGAAAGAGATCGTGAACGAGAGCTGGAACGCGAAAGGTAATCACTATGAATTTCCATGCTATGTTTTTTTCCTTCTTTATATTTAAATCGTGTTCAATTTCAATTTCATGTGTTGGATTCAATTTTCAAGGCAATTGGAAAATTATTCTGCTTGAAAATTGATTCCATTTATTCGATGTGAACATTTCTCAATTTAAAAACGTTTTTCCATTTCGCTATTTTTATTCATAAAAAAGAAGAACTCGATGTTGTAATACTTAAATATATTTTTTCTTTTTTTTTTTCTTGTTTCTTCTCTATCCTGACGTTTGATGTTTTACTTTCGAAAATCGCGTCCATTTTTGGCGTTTCTCTGTGTGGTTATGCAAAATATAAAAAATCGAATTACTTTATATTTTGAATACGTGTTATGCATCCTTTCTGCTCTGCCAAAAATAAAAAAAATCAATCATCCCGTTTTATTCGATGTGTTCTTAAATGATGTGTGTGACGAAACTCTGTGCTTGCTTATTTGTTGGATGTTTTCATTTTCGTCGGTGGCAACCACGCCCCTTCAAAAAAAAAACTCACAAAAAAACCAAATACCAATCTATTTAGTCTTCTTCAAAGGTTGGAGTATCACACTCCGATGTCATTTGAGCAAGCGCTGGCCATGGGTCGAACCGGTATTCTACCATCGCCAGTGATCAACGGATTTAAGCCAAAAGGATTGGGCGGTGGCTTGCCGAGTGGACGTCGTTCGGATTCAGATGAGGAAGAAGATTGGTGCTAGCAAAGGCTGAACAATGATCCACGACTTCCATTTCGTAGATCAGACACCACCAGAAATAACACACACAAATCACGCGTGCCCATTGCGCAATATAGCAATCACTCATCATCATCATCTGAAATGTTCAATTTTTAATGGCGTTCAAATAGCTCAAACATCTAAAAGTAATAACATTGAAAACCACCTAAAAACCGAGTTCAAGGACATTCAACTTCAGAGTTGAAAGCGAGCATAGACATAAAACAATTGTTTTGATTATTAGCTTTTGTTTAGTCCAATTCATTTTCACATGATGCATTCATTCAATCGAAATGAATACGTTGTTTATTATCCAATAATTTTATATAGTTTAACGGTTTTGTACTTAGAAAAAGTCAAATATTTTAAACATGTGCAATCAAGAAATGAACAAGAAAGAATGCAAGATTACAAGAAAATGGAATTTGTTTCAGTTTGTTAAGCATATTTGAGATTTAAGCAGTGTTTACCTGTACACACAAGTACAGGGTATTCGTTGTTGTCTATTTCTTTTTCTATTCTCTCTGTTGATTTTTCGTGCGCGCAACCATTCCAACGTCGTTTTTTCGAAGAAAACATGAAACTGATGGCGTTTTGAAAAGCAGTCGTTTTAACGAAATTTTTTCAACGCACCTAAAATCGAACCAAAAAAAGAAAGCAAAAGAAATGGAGGGAAACGGTGTAAAAAATTATTTAAATGAATTTTCCCTTTTTTGATTGTATAAATCATCACCGATCATTGAATAAACACAAATATTGTACTGAAATCAGTGAAAAAGTATGGAAAAAAATGCGAATAAAACTGAAGCGAGCAATCGTTTCGAAATACATCTTTTTGACCAAAACGTATTCCTCGTAATGCAACTAAAACTGAAGAGATACTTATAATTGTTAATAAAACACCCTCATTAAAAACAACCACACAATTTATATTTCATATCGAAACAACATATATCTAAATATTATAGAGTTTATCCAACGTCATATTTACATTCTACACGACAAGGAAAAGAAAACAAAGTATATTTGAAATGTCGAAGCTATTTAGTGTTCATATCCATATTTTTGCTTTGAGTCGCACAGACCATGAACAATTACCGAACAACCAAACAGGCGTCAACAACATGAAGTCAAAGCGAGATTGTTTCCCTTCAACTGTTCACCCAAATCATCGTTCCCGAATACGTTCGAATGTCGTCGACCTTTGATAATATGTTTTAAAAAAAAGCTCTTCATATTCAGCCAGTGACACAACTCATTCATATCTTTTCATTTCAATTTATTTACCCATCGACGCTGAAATCATCGTTGATACAAAACAAAATAGGACTAAATAAGTAGATAATCGTAAAAATCCTGTACATACAATTTCATAGATTCCATATCTCAATGCATTCATTAAACAAACAAACAAAAAAATGCCTAATAATCTTAAATCACCGAGATGTTAGTTAGTTGTGTGTTTCCCATTCTAAAGTTTAAAATTTCGATTTGTGAATTTCAAAATGTTCAGAGTTCGTATACTTCAGAAATTCATGCCGGCTAAATGAATTTTGAAGCCCAATGCTAATAAAAATCAGTTCTCGTTTGAACCAACAGGCAAAAAAAGGGAGAAGAAACGAGTTGCGGTCATAATGACCTGGACGGACAACATGCTTTTCTGTTTCTATTACATCAGAGTATGCAGTCCGTCCGGGGCGTTATCACTACCACTCGAAGAAACAAACGAAGATAAAATTGAATTCATTAAATCGAGACAAAAAACAGGTTTTTTTAAAATAAAACAAACAAAAAATAATGAATAAAAAAAGGTTTATCTATGGAACGTAGGCATTTAAAAATAAATTGCAAGAATTTGCACAAAAAGATAATCTACATTCATCCGATATAAACGCGATATATCGACGCTTGTTTATCCCTTTTTCGATACCTCTAGTTAATTCGTGTAAATATTTTGTCTGTCATCAAATGAATCAATAACAACAAAAAAAAACGAAGAATAATCAAGAAAAATATAGAGAAAAAAATAATAAATCAGAAAAAAAATCCTTTGAATGTTTTCGTTTTAAATCATCCAAACATGACAAAGGTACCCACTAAATTAACCAAATTAACAAGTTGGAATGTTGAAATGATCGGAACAGACAACTAAACCGTATGTAAATAAAGTGTCGTATTGGAAAAAGATCGATGAATCGATCGATGTTGAGCACGGAACGTGCATCACTTGTTAGTGAGGATGACGAAAACGTGATGATTGTTTTTGCTGAGATAGGAAGAGAGGGAGCGAGAAATATAGGAGAGCGTAGTTTAAAAGTGTGAGATAATTTTTAAGGCCAAAGCATTAGCATATTGTTTGTTGAGCTTGCAGCTAGGAAATTTGCTGTTTCTTTTTAAAGAATTCAAAATACAAAAAAAAATTTATTATATATGAATTGAAAGTCGGTGCAAAGCTACAATATCCATATCACAGTCCCAATTTCATATCTCTCTGTTTTTTTTTATTTATCATTTATTGCCATTCATACATATACCGCGCGCGCTGTTAAGTTTTTTCTAGAAAAAAAAAAATATTATAAAGACTTTTACATGTTGGTTTTTAATCCATCAATATATCATTAGCAAGAGCGAGAGAAAAGAGAATCATTTGCAAATATATATATATATATATTTATATATATTCATTGGAAAGCGAATGAAAATCAAAATATTGAAACCATGTAAATAAATTCGGTCATTCTTCAAATCTGTCTCACAATAAACATAGCAAATCCGTAATTGGGTCAATATTATAAGCTATTTGCTTTCCCTGTAGTCAGAAAGTACTTGATTTAGCGTATTTACAGGGAAAGAGATGAGCCAAAACGTTACATCGCGTTACTTTATTACACCCATTCATTCATTACCGCGTTACATTTCGTCCGCTTCGAAATTCGGCACTTATATTATCCCCCGCTCTTTCGATTTACATTCCACAAAAAGCCCATTCAAGCTTTTCAATCTCAAATTTTTAATGCAATTCGACTCAAATCTCATGAATGAAACATTTTATTCGCAAAACATATAAAAGTTTATTTTTTACAAATGTACAACACCGAATCGAGCCCACACACAAATACAAACACTACCAATATTATAGATAGGTAATGGTGTAGCAAACAAAAAGTAACAAAAAACCAAACAAAAACAAGCGAGACAACACCGATTTGAAATAGCCGATTTAAATGGTCCTTTGAACAAAACAAAAAATTCTTTAAAAAGCCAGCAAATGAATATTTAGAAGAGAACGTTTGAAAAACACTAAAATTTATACACTTTTCACATATTTTGCGAAAAAATGTAAATAAAAATAAATACATTTTTCTGTGATACGATTACTAATAAAAAGAAAATGAAAATAATGATATATGAAGAAAAAAACTGAAACAAAGTATATATATATATATTTCAGAAAATGGTCTCCGATTCATATTTAATCCAGTGGATTAATTCATCATCTTTCATAATGTGACATATATATAGAGAAAATAAGAATATTTGCACAGACAACGTATTTTGATAATATCAGCTAGCTAACTGATCTATGCGTTGCGTTTATATATATATTCCTTTCTGGATCTCAAGTCAAATTTGAATGAAATTTCCTAACAGCCACTGAGCTCAGATAGATATTATCAGTTAGCTAGCTGATATTCAAAAAATGCATTGTCTGTATTTGCAACAAAAATGGCAACAAACAAACGAAAATCAGATCAAATCCCACTAATACCTAGTACACATTTACACATAGAATTAATCAATTCGAACAAAAACCAAAACCAGACAAAAAAAATGAGAAAAAAACCCTGTCATTCAATGTATAAATTTAATGTTATTTGTACTTTTTAAAAACAAAAACAAAATATCAATATTTAGTAGATAAATGATATAAACTGAATATTTGACTTGAAAATCCTACTGAAACCAAGAACAAAACACTGGAGCATTCTATTGCAAATTGCTCCGCAAATTCAAATCTCAACAAAAAAAAATACAAAAAAATTATAACAAAAAACCGAGCTCGACATTAATCAGTAATATTAAACGATTATTTATCAAATAAAAAACAACTATGGATTGAAATTATCAACAAGAAATGATTAAAAGAAAAACACAATGAAATCAATATTAAAGAAAAAAAAATATCTATTGAAAAATTAAATCCATTTGTTTCATTTTCACTTTCTTTTGTTGGTATTTTTCCTTTCGTTGTGGAGATTTATGTGCTGATAATGAAAAGGTGAGTTTTATTGATTACAACTTTTGTGAAGGAATTTATCGCTTTCAGCAACGCTTTATATTAATCAAATGTTCAATCCATGGATAGAGTGTTTGGCTCTAATAACACATTGACCTATTTTTTGCTTATCGCTCGAGAAACAAATCTCTGGCTGGAGGGAAAAACAGCGACAAACTCTATGCAAACACATAGACTTATAATTGTGTTAGGGAGGCTTTCTATGTGGTTTTTCTCACACAAAAGAAAAAAAAAATAGAATGGGTATTGTGAAAGGAATGTGATACAGGATCGATTTACCGTTATTCAATGCTAACTTATCATAATTATTATCCTTTAAAATCTCGTTTTGTATGACATTTGAATCGCTGGGCCGAATCAACAAAAAAGGCATCAAAACACACCAAAATAGCCTTTGAACATAACATTCGATACTCTCCGTCTGTCTCTCTTCGTTCAGTTTATTTGCAACGACTCCGACTACAGTAGAAACACTAAAATCCTAAGCAAAGCACATTATCCAGCTTCGATTCCGTACACACAGTATGCCGTTGCCGTCTTCAGTTGTGCTTCACTGTAATTGTATTGAAACAAATGATGAATCAAATTGGAGACACAAAGTCTATTCACTCACTCCCTTATTCTTTATTCGTCTATTTTTTGTTCTTCTTTTTTTTTGATATGGTGGAACAAAAATTGTATGATGTGTATATATGTGCATCTCACGCGCGCGTCAACGACGCTGCCACGAACATTAACCAAGAGACGGTCGCTTCGATGGATAGGAGCAGTGTGTGTATTAGCATCACAGAAATTGTGTTTGGCACAATAAATCCAACAAACAATCCACCAAAGTCATCTTTCATCTCAATTGCGGTCACAGTCATTTCGTCTCTCTATCACACTCTATCTCTCTTGAATTCGATGCTTGCGCCAACTCGAAGTAATACGTATAATTTGTGTAATTCGTGTATGTATTAGCGAAACGGTGACGTCATAAAATGTTTTCGGTATGCGTGTGTAGTTAGTACTATAATATCGCCGACACGGCGCGACCAATATCGTCAACATACGATGGATATCATTCGAAAATTTCATTCATTTTGAAAAATTATTCGTGAACGCAACGGCCTGCAAGCGGACACTATTTCGCAAACACACAAATACAACAAGAAAAATCATGCGTACAGCCTTTGATATCCACTATCTTTTCGCTTTCAATTCCATTCCACTTTTTTTTTACTCAATGATTCGTATAATCAGCCGTTGAGATCGACGACAGGCATGCTAGCCAGCCTCAGTACACATTATCGGTTCACCAAAGATGAAGCATGATTTTTAAGTTCGATAGCAACGCGCCTCGTCTTTTCGAAACATTCGTGATATCATTAAATTTTATTACGGTTTGTGATGGTTTTTCATTTTCCTTTTGGTGAACACAATTCGGTGTATGTGTGTGTGTGTGTGATAAATTGTAAATCAAACAAATAATTTTCCAGTTTTTCTTCTTTTTATCTTGTCCAGTGGTTAGAATTATTTCTAGTGATTCATTATTAGTTTCATCAGTGGGTTTCACAAAAAAATCCATGGATGAATTGTTTGTGGGAAAACGCGTGTAACATTCATATATATGAAAATCAAAAAGAAAATCGCTGACAATCTTTAACAACAGGATTTTTGCTTGACGCTGATTTTGTTAGCAATGGAATATTTTAGGTAATTTCTTAATCAAATGAAGCATTCTTGAATCATGGGAACTTTTTTTTGGGTGAATTGAAACATTTTAACGATTTTCCTCATGTGAAAAAATGAGAGAAATTTGCTCTTCTAAAAAGGCAACGACTTATTTGGTGACCTAAATTGAAAAGTTGGCTTCAAAAACTGGAATTTGTTGTGATTTTTGTTTTTTTTTTTTGCGTTAGGCTAGTTTTATCATCGTAATTTGTTGACATTTTTCCAATAAAATGAACTAGTTTTGTTTTTCATTAATACAACGGGATTTTAATATGGAATGAACAGTAATTGAGTTGGATAGCTTTTAAAGATAATTGACTGTAAAATTTGATTTCCGATTGCCACCCGCACCACTTCTCTAATTTCGAATAGGCTAGCAGCGCAGGAGGCTCAAGCGTCAGGTCCAAGTGCAAAAGTATCAACGCAAACGACATCTACCTCACGTCAAAATGTCAAAGTTGAAGTGGTGCAACCAACGATTACGGTGGCCATGCCATCTGGACCAACATCATTGTTTCTATTCACCGAAGATCATCCGCTGCGGCGGCTCATGCGTTTCATCATCGAGTGGCCACCATTTGAATACACAATCCTTGTGACAATCATTGCTAATTGTTTAGTGATGGCATTGGAACAGCATCTACCTGATGGCGATCGAACGACGCTTGCACAAAATTTAGAAGCAACCGAACCATTTTTTCTGGGCATTTTTTGTGTTGAAGCATCGTGCAAAATAATTGCATTAGGTTTAATTTTACATGAAAACTCCTACCTTAGAAACGCATGGAATATTATGGACTTTTTTGTGATTGTCACAGCGTAAGCGAAATGATATTAAATGTTGTTGTTGTTGGTGTAAACGGATTAAAAAGTGATTAATTGAGTACTTTTCTTGATTAGAATAATCGCTCTGTTTCCGAGCCTGGGTGCAAAACTCAATTTGCGAACACTTCGAGCGATTCGAGTGTTACGTCCATTAAAACTAGTGTCGGGCATTCCAAGTATGTTTTTGAATGAATTTCCATTTCGACGACGACGATGATGAATGAATTTTTCAATGTGTATGCTCATGTCGTAGGTTTGCAAGTGGTTCTATTTTCAATATTAAAAGCAATGGCTCCACTACTTCAAATCGGATTGTTGGTGCTATTTGCAATCGTCATTTTTGCCATAATTGGTTTGGAATTTTACTCTGGTGCAATGCATAACACATGCTATGACCCTGAAAATCCGAGTAAGTGACACTGAAATGATTATTATTATGCTAACGCAAGTTGTATGCGGTTGTCGTTGCTGTTGTTGTCGACCGCATCGAGATCGTGTCGTCAACCTCGTGTGACTCAACCGAAAATGAATAGATTTTAAATTAAATGAATGTGTGTATAATCTTGAATAGCGTCAATTGTCGAAGAAGGCGGCAAGGAAGTACCCTGTAATCCAAACAAAACAGGAGCCAATCCGTGTTCAGAAGGCGTCTGTTCAGACGGATGGATAGGACCAAACAGTGGCATTACCAGCTTCGATAACATCGGCTATGCAATGCTCACTGTCTTTCAGTGCATAACAATGGAGGGATGGACGCCTTTGATGTACTTTTTGAACGATGCACTCGGCCCACAATATAATTGGCTGTATTTTATTCCGTTGATTGTGCTCGGCTCGTTCTTTATGCTGAATCTAATCCTCGGTGTTTTGAGCGGGTAAGATTATAGCTTCTGTGATAATATTCCGTTAATATTGTGCTGCATCGAATCGACTATCATTATTTAAATACGATTTCAAAACCGTTGCCGTAGTGAATTTGCAAAGGAGCGTGAGAAAGTCGAAAATAGACAAGAATTTCTGAAACTTCGTCGGCGTCAACAGGTTCAAAAAGAGTTGGATGGCTATGTGGATTGGATTTGCAGAGCGGAGGAAGCGATTTTAGCCGAAGATCGAACGACCGACGAGGAAAAGATGCACATTATGGACGGTTTGTTTATTGAATTCAATGAAAATGAATTATCATCCACGGTGTGAACTGTGAATGATTTAATAAATATGAGTTTGTTTGGTTCAATTTTGTTCAGTGCGGCGGCGACTAGCAGCCAAAAAACGAAAATTAAAACTTGCCGGCAAATCAAAATCTACCGACACTGAAGACGAGAGCAATTATGAGTACTGCGACGATGATCGTAAATACTGAAATGTATTTGAAATGAAAATCACGATTTTTGTCATTGTTCTTGTTTTAGTTTCAGGCTATACAAAAAGTAAGACACAGCGCGATGGCAGCTTTTGGTTAGCTGAAAAACGACTTCGATTCCGTATACGGCACATGGTCAAATCACAATGGTTCTACTGGTTTGTCATAGTGCTCGTTTTTCTAAACACAGCAACAGTTGCATCCGAGCACTATGGCCAGCCGCAATTTTTAACAGATTTCCTATGTAAGTTTTCAATCTTATTCGTCCGTGAGCCAAGCTCATTTTCTTTGAATTTTTCAACCAATTTGATTTTGAAATTCTTTCACAACAGTTTACACGGAATACGTTTTCCTTGGGCTGTTCATCTCGGAGATGTGCCTTAAAATCTATGCGATCGGACCACATAAGTACTTTCAGTCGGCGTTTAATCGGTTTGATTGTATCGTCATATTTGCCTCGCTGTTTGAAATCGTATGGACGCATTTCAAAAGCGATTCGTTCGGTTTGTCTGTGTTGCGTGCATTGCGTTTGTTGCGTATATTCAAAATAACCGCCTATTGGTCATCGTTAAGAAATTTGGTGATTTCACTGCTTAATTCGATGCGATCGATTCTTTCGTTGCTCTTCCTTCTGTTTCTGTTCATTATGATATTTGCTATGCTCGGCATGCAACTATTTGGTAAGATAATTGTATCATTTCGTACTTGTAAAAATAGGTCATAATTATGTCTAGTTACACTTGTGAAATAGAGACATACCTTTAATTTTTGTTGTTGTTAAACACGATTACATCGATTAGGTGGACAATTTAACTTTGACGAAGGTACACCGCCAGCCAATTTCGATACATTCGGTATTTCGTTGTTGACGGTGTTTCAAATTTTGACGGGCGAAGATTGGAATGAGATCATGTACGATGGCATCGAATCGCAAGGTGGCATTGAATCGAAGACTGGAATGTTATATTCATCGTAAGCATTGTTTACATGATTTTTTTTTGCCACATGGGCTATGTGTCGTTTTTGTTTGTTGTGTCCATTAATGTGTCCTTCTGCGCACACCTTAACATCACAAGCATTTTAAATTCTCACAGGTACTTTATCATCTTGACACTCTTCGGTAATTACACGTTGTTGAATGTATTCTTGGCCATTGCTGTGGACAATTTGGCAAATGCACAAGAGTTGACAGCTGCCGAAGAAGAGCAAGAAGAAGAAGACCGAGAGAAACAGCTGCAGGAATTGGAAAAGGAGATGGAAGCATTGCACGGTGACAATGTTAGAGTTAATGAGAATGCAATGACAACGACAACGACAACAACAATATCGAAAGGTTCAAAGAAAACCAAAGACAGACCAAAAGTACAAATTGACCTAGACGAAGCGGGACCAAAACCTATGCTTCCTTATTCATCAATGTTCATTTTTTCACCAACAAACCCGTAAACAAATGCACAATCCCCATTTTGCACATTTAGCTTCACATTAGAATAGAATTTATGTTTTTTTTTTCGAATTTTTTCCCAACACAGAATTCGATGTGCAGCGCATTGGATAGTCAATTTAAAGTATTTTGACTTTTTCATAATGTTAATCATTGGATTATCGTCCATGGCGTTAGCCGCCGAAGATCCAGTGGACGAGCATTCAAAAACAAACCAAATTCTTGATAAATTCGATCATGCGTTCACCGCTGTCTTCGCGGTGGAAATGTTTCTGAAGATTATCGATTTGGGCGTGTTATTCCATCCAGGCAGCTATTTGCGTGAATTCTGGAACATTATGGATGCGGTCGTTGTTATTTGTGCCATATTTAGTTTTGGCTTCAAGTACTTGTAGGTGTCAATACTGCACACAATTTATTTCAATCCAATCCAATCCAATTCTAATCCCATTTCATTTTTTTTTTTCATTTCAATTCACTTCTTTTCTTTTCACTTGCCTCAATTTTATGCATGTCAACAAAACTAATATTCATTTTTGCATGTAATGACAATGATTTGCCTTTCCAAAGCACGGACGGTGGTGGAAGCATAGGACAAAATTTAGCTACAATTAAGTCGTTGAGAGTTCTACGTGTTTTGAGACCGCTCAAAACTATTAAACGAATCCCAAAATTAAAAGCCGTCTTTGACTGTGTTGTTGGATCGTTGAAAAATGTCGTAAACATTTTGATTGTTTATCTACTGTTTCAATTCATTTTTGCCGTTATCGGCGTTCAGTTGTTTAACGGTAAATTCTTTTACTGTACCGATCCAAGCAAACACAATAGAGAAGATTGCCGGTGAGTAGCATCCAGTATATTTTTTGTGGAAATGGACTTTTAATCGTTTGCCATTGTTGAATCAATGAACAGGGGAAAATATTTTGAGTTTGATCCCGGCGAACAATTTCCCAAAGTAGAAACTCGTCAGTGGAAAATACAATCTTTCAACTATAACAATGTAGCTGCGGCCATGCTTACACTATTTGCTGTTCAGACTACCGAAGGATGGCCAAGCGTTCTACAAAATTCAATGGCTGCTAGCTTAGAAAATCACGGACCAATACCAAACTGTAACGACACTTTTCTCATTAACATAACCGAAAACTAATGCAATCTTATGTTCCATTCATTCCGTAGATCGCCTCGAAATGTCCATTTTCTACATCGTGTACTTCATTGTCTTCCCGTTTTTCTTTGTAAACATATTCGTCGCATTGATAATCATAACATTTCAAGAGCAGGGCGAAGCAGAGCTACAAGATGGTGGAATCGATAAGAATCAGGTATAGTCGGTATAGCACACGAAATACGATTATTAATCCTTAACTAATTTCTCTTTTCATGACTCTATTTTTTTTTCCACAGAAATCTTGTATCGATTTCGCTATTAACGCCAGACCATTTGCAACGTATATCCCACCGAAGCGTAAAAAGTACAAGTATAAAATTTGGAAAATGGTCATTTCGACGCCATTTGATTATTTCATCATGCTGCTGATTGTGTTGAATACTATACTCTTAATGATGAAGGTAATTCAAGTGGACGAAGAATCATTGCTCTAAATGTTGACACATTTCAATTTGATTTAGTATCATGGGCAGAATAAAAGCTATGAAAGTGCGTTGTGCTATGTCAATATGCTCTTCACTGGACTCTTTACGATTGAAGCGGCTCTGAAAATATTCGGTTTTGGTCTCAAGGTATTTTGATTTGATGATAATGTGTTGATATTATTGACTCATTACCGATCTTCCTTTGAATTCATTCAAAATTTAAAAAAATACTTTTAATTCAACAGAATTACTTCCGAGACGCCTGGAATGTTTTCGATTTCATCACCGTTGTTGGGAGTATCATTGATGCTATCGTTTCAGGATTAACGGTTCGTCTCTTGTCAGATCTTTTCTCATTTTCATAGCGAAAACTAATTTTATCTCATATTCCATTCATTCCATAGGAAAACAACACGCAAAAGGTAATTCAATGTCGTTCTTAATACTTTTTTTTTTTTAATATTCCACATAAATTGACAATAATTTAAAATAACGAATCAAAAAAAATTCATTTTCTAATCTTTAAATTCCTTCAAACTTTTAGATTCCATATGATAAAATACATTCAAGCAATGATTTTAAAGTTTGGGTGGAAAGTATCAGCTCTGAACAATAACTACAAATTTTCAATTTAATTTTTTAGCAAATAATTTGATTTGTAGTTGAAGTAGATGCAGAAAAATTGCGTTAAAGACTAGGCTTTCATAGATTAGCTGCGGTTGTTCCTTTTTCGTTTGAGAAACTTGTAGAAAATTTGACATTAAAACAAGTTTGCGCTGATTGCGATACTTTTGTGAATGCCTTTAAATTCCCATAGATCACCTTCACTTTCCCTTTGGCTATGTTTACTTTCCCGCGCTCAAATACGGCTATATTTGCTGACGCTGATAATGCTCCCTTCCTTAGCGTTGAATAGCAATTTTCCCCTTTGAATATTTCAATATTTTTTTTCCACCACCAAAAACAGGCAAACACATTGAATTTGGGCTTCTTACGGCTGTTTCGAGCCGCTAGATTGATCAAGCTACTTCGTCAAGGAGACACGATTCGGATATTGCTTTGGACATTTGTTCAGTCATTCAAAGCCCTCCCCTACGTCTGTTTACTTATCGCAATGTTGTTCTTCATTTACTCCATCATCGGAATGCAAGTAAGAATAGTTTCAATTCATTTTTCTTTCGGTTTTGAACAATTTCTTTTCTAACGAAAAATTGCATCTTTTTTAAGGTGTTTGGAAACATAAAATTGGACGCAGACACGGAAATCAATCGGCATAATAATTTTCAAACATTTTTCGCCGGTTTAATGCTGTTGTTTCGGTAAATATTTTGAGACAGCTTCGTACACGTGCCTCGTACACAGCGAGGAACTTTTTCTGATTTTCATTTTGACCTTTCCATTGCAATTGCATTCGTACAGTTGTGCCACCGGAGAAGCGTGGAATAGTATAATGCTTTCGTGTTTGCATGGTGATTGCGAGAAGAAAAAAGATCAAGATGATTGCGGCTCACCATTGGCCTTCGCTTATTTCGTTTCATTCATTTTTCTGTGTTCGTTTTTGGTAAGCTCATCCGATGCGATTCCTCCTTCTGATTTTAATCTTCGTTTTTTTTTCTCTTTGAAGATGTTAAATCTGTTTGTGGCTGTTATTATGGATAATTTCGACTATTTAACACGCGACTCGAGCATTTTGGGCGCACATCATTTGGATGAATTCGTCCGAATTTGGAGCGAATACGATCCAAAGGCTGAGTAATCAATATTTCATTTAAAAATCAATTAAAGTCTTGAAACAACACTCAACTCTTCATCTAAATTTCAGAGGAAAGATTCATTACACCGAAATGTATGACATGCTGAAAAACATTGATCCTCCATTGGGCTTTGGTAATAAATGCCCGAATCGACTGGCCTATAAAAAGTTGATGCGAATGAATATGCCGATCGATGATGATAAAAAAGTCAATTTCACCACGACGCTGTTTGCAATAATCCGAGAAAACTTGTCTATTAAAATGAGAGGCGGTAAATTTTTGCCATTTTTCAGTTTAATCTTTATATTTAACTGATCAACAATCAAAATACTATTATTCAACAGCCGAAGAAATGGATACTGCTGATGAAGAGCTTCGCGAGACCATTCGGATGATTTGGCCATTACAGGCGCGAAAAATGATGGAATTACTGGTTCCAAGAAAAGAAGTGCTCAATAAATACAATTTAACCGTTGGCAAAATCTACGGTGGACTTTTGATATTGGAATCATGGAGAAATACGCGGTTTGGGAAAAGGAAAAGTCGCTTTGGCGTAAGACAATTTGCTATATTTTTCACTTTTTAGTTTAGAATTTGTCCAAGAATAGTTTTCAACATAGCATTTTGGATCGATCTCTAGAGACTAGTGAACGAATCAAATTAGTTGTCGAATAACAAAAAAAAAACATAGTATTCTACATTTTGCACTTGGTTGATTACAAATTAACTTGCACTCGCATTTTTTTTTGCTCAAAATTGCTCTAATGTTTTGAAACATATAGAAAAGCTTATTCGGATGTTTATTGGGTGCGGCATCGAATAATTTAAAACTTGAAAAGAAACGACGTAGTCGACCCAGGTAAGTTCAGATACTTTTTTTTAGATTCTCCTTAAGTGAACGGACCTATCTGCTACCAATCGATAACAATGTTGATGGAGCGAATGTAAAATTTATTTAAGGAAATAATATCAAAATCTCTTGTTCATTTTCAGGAAGGAAAAGGTAAAGTCATAGCAAACCGATCAAAGGTCATGTTGCACTCTGTTTGTACACTGCATGTTTTGATATCTGAGTTTTTATTCGAGGTTATCAGCTAAAACAACTAGCTGAATTGCCTTTTAATACTCTAATGTTGATTGATCTTTTTCATGCGAAGGCACTGCCTGATGTTGCCGGAGATGTTCCACGGCGCAGTATTCCAGGAGATCATCTGCGTGTTCCTGATGCTCACCAAGATATTCGAACACCACATCATCGTCACAGCATTTTTTCGCAGGATATCGACCTTTCCGACACTGTTGCTAATTTTGTCGATTTCGTGAAAGAAGGTCGTCATAATCGTCATCGTTATCGCCACAACATGCACACGAAATACAGAGGTAAATCCCAAAGAAAAGAAAAATGCTTGAATTTTCAATTCATAGAAATATTTTACTGATGATTTGAAAGGTTCTTGGTCAACTTCATCGAGTCCTGTGGGTTCCCCGTCTCCAAGAGAATCAAATGCTGGCCTGAATGGATGCTATGGCACAACGAGTCTTCAGCAAAGATCACGATCTCCCAGCCCTTCGCAATCAAAATCAAATCATTTCAGAGGTGATCTTTGATTTTAACTCGTACTCATAAGAATGTGAATATTGAAAAGTGAATGAATATTCGGTCGTTCTTTTCTTTCTCAGACTATCAACAAAGCTATCAAGTGTTACACGCGCGGCGAAATCGTGGACGCATTTTGCCCGCAACGCCAAACAAACCATCCATTTTACAAATCCCAGAGACAGATGCTAAATTTTCCGAACTGAATCGTACTCCGACACGAAATGTAAGCAACGAAACTCGATGAGTTTATTCAAATTTTGGTCACTATTCCTTTGTTTTCTTCTTTGGATTTTCAGTACCACAACCGAAGAAATCAATCATTAGCTACACCGCATAGTGTTCATGAATTTCCCCAATCATGGAGTACGACATTTTACAATCAGAATCGTCGTGAGAGTTTCGATAATGACGGTAATCGTTCCCGTTTCCGTGATAAGGAACGAGAATTATACGAACGACAAGTGGAGTTTGAACGTGAACTGGAAAAAGAACGGTTGGTGTCGAATATCACATTTTGAAGAGTCGCACACATTTGACAGAGAAAAAAAAACGCTAAAAATATGCATAATTTCTTTCAGATTGGACATAGGAGGAACACCATCAACTCCGATGTCTTTTGAAGATGCATTCCATATGGGGCGAACTGGGCGCACATTTCCATCAACATCAATTGCTGGGCGAAAATCGACCATAGTCAGTGGCCGAAGATACGATCTAGACGAAGAAGACTGGTGTTAATTATTAGATATTCATGAGCTGTACTCCGAATAACAAGCCTTATAACCACAACAATACCAATTCGCACAATGAAATTCATACATTTAATTCGACATTTCTTTATATGATATACAACACATTCTTAATCAGTATTCTTTGTAAATATTTAGGCATTCTCTATCAAATTTAACACTCTTGCCTTTTTTGTGAATTATTATTGAAAGCAACAGAAACAAAACAAGTGCCACACGGGTCGCTTGCGTAGAAAATGAAAGTGTTATCAATTGTTTATTCGTTAATTTATATGTAACGTCTCAAACCATTATATTCAAATCAATAAAATATTTGGCCGTTGTAAACTTTATATACAAATATTATGTTTTATTTTGTGTATAGAGTTTTTTTTTGACACACGTAGTTTTGACTCAATTGAGTTTTTTTGTTTGTTTGTTGTGAAATGTGAAAAGGTTATCATGAATCACATTTTTAGAATAGCGTTAGAATAACAAATGTCAAATTTGCAATTATACTCGATTACGCCTTTTGCCATTTGTTTGCCCGTAATCAACTGAAAGTAGATTGCAGCATGGTGCAATATTTATATTTAGGTAAACATTCGCAATGATTCAACAGCCGTTTCATGATTACACAACAACAATTGCAAAGAAGAGCCGACGCCACATTCGTACTTTAATCCGTAGAGGTATAAACAGATTATTCACAAGTACTTATTATTACAAGCTTCATCAACACTTTTTTTTTGCTTTATTTGAACTGTCCGATAGCAAATAGAATTGATAAAAAATGAAATGTTTCAAACTAAACACATGCGTCTTCGATCACACTACAGAAACAGGGTGTTTACAGTGAAATAACCATCTGTTTCTGCTACACATTCCAATTCCGGTAATTAATATAAAAAAAAACTCTCACATCATGAGAACATTTAGTGAAAAAGGATTAAATTTACATGAATGTGTTAAATAAGAAGAATGTACGGGCACGTTTCGAACTTTGTTCATTTCTACGATAAGGCAAACATTTAATTTCCCGGATTATTTGTTACTAAACCAATTGTTTTCATTAAACTGCGAATTATTAAAAGGTACGAATTGCTTGATATGAATAAAACAAAAATTGAATCAAAATAAATAACAACAAGCAACAAACAACAAATAACCAGCAAAAACACATGTAAACCTTATCATGAAGCTGAAAAAAAAAGTAAAGCGTAGATTGGATGACAATTGATTGTTGCTTTTGTTTGCAGGATGAAGATCGAGACGACAACGACGACGATCGAAACAAATTATTTTCAGTTGATTTTTGGCGTTCATCACACTCGGTTCGGTTATTTTGTCAGTAGCTTAATTAATTCAATTGAACGCAGTTCTAAGTACGCACTTGTGCTGAGTGGCTGAGTGTAAAATGTTATTTATTCTGGGAGTACTTTTGGCAACGGTAGTCGCATATTTTCTTCGTTTCCACTATAATATCATTCATGCATTTTACATTTCGCTCAAAATCAACGGGCCCCCATGCCTACCCATAATTGGTAATGGCCTAATGTTTTTGACTGATTCATCAACCGAACTTTTTGATATAGTTGTTAAAGTGTTACATGATTATGGTGACTTTTTTCGCATTTGGATTGGTACAGAATTAAATGTTGTATTGTCAGATCCAAAAGATATCGAGGTATGTGAAATTGAGATTCATCCATTGTTATACTTCAAAATCGATTATGTGAAACATGATATGAAAGACTAAAGCAAAAAAAACAGAATTTTGAATATAAATTTAATTGAATTTCATAATGGTTGTATTTCGTTGATAATTTTAGATTGTATTGAGTAGCCCACGGTATATAGATAAATCTACTGTGTACAGTTTCATCAAACCCTGGCTTAATGAAGGGTTACTCTTGAGCACGGGTATGAACTTTAATCATCTTTATCTACTTTAATCAATTGAGAAAAAAATTATCGCAGAAAATGAAATTGATATTTTTCTTTTATGTTTTATGATGTTAAATTGAGTGATGATCAAAAATCAATATGTTTGCAGGCAAAAAATGGCACGATCGCCGTAAAGTCATAACTCCGGCGTTCCATTTCAATATTCTGGAGAAGTTTGCTGAAGTTTTTGATCGACTGGGCAACACTGTCGTGGATAAACTCAAGCAATTCGACTCGGGTGATGACGTTGAATTCTATCCAATCGCTGCATTGTATGCCTTGGATGTGATGTGTGGTGAGTGTTTTTTTTTTCATTTTTACACATTTCTTTACTCAAGTCCCAATAGTTATTGTGATTTATTCACACTTTTCACGAGTCGATTTATGCGTTTTAAACAACATTCCTATTCCATACAAAAATTCCGTTTTCCAGAAACGGCGATGGGAGTGAGTATCGATGCACTTGCAAAGCCAGACTCGGAATATGTTCAGGCCGTGAAAGAGTAAGTTAAATGGAGACGGTCAATCATTTTTCATCTAGTTTACGCTTGGAATGCAATACAACATTAATTACTTTATTTCGTTTGTGTTCTAATTAGCATTGCATATGTGATACATACTCGCATGCACGATTTCATTATGCGCTACCCATTATTCTTCAAACACTCAAAGTTGGCGAAAAAGCATGATATTGCTTTGCGTGTATTACATGAGTTTACAGATGACGTGATACGAAAACGGCGACAAGAATTAATTGAGATTGATATGAGTGATAGTGAAAATGCCAGTTATAAGAATGAAGAGGACGAAGCCATTGGCATTCGAAAGAAACGCGCTTTTTTGGATATATTATTACGCTCAACCATTGAAGGTAAACCGTTGAACGATCTCGAGATACGAGAAGAGGTTGACACTTTTATGTTTGAGGTTCGTTTAATTGAAATATTATATAATTGTGTCCACTTGTGACAAACGATAGTTAATTTTCCATTTTCATCAGGGTCATGATACAACCACATCGGCAATTACTTTCTGTTTGTATAACATAGCAAAGCACCCATCGGTGCAGAGAAAATGTTTCAAAGAAATCGTTGAAGTGTTTGGATCAGATACAAAAGAAACAACTACACTCTCGAAATTGAACCAACTGCACTATTTGGAGCTAACGATCAAAGAAACTCTCCGTCTATTCCCTTCGGTTCCATTTTTTGGACGCATCGCCATGCAAGACATCGAATTAAGTGAGTCATTTGTCATTTCTGTAGAAAAAAAATATTCGTTTTCAATAATAAACTTTGACATTGTTCACTTCCACGAATTTTAGCTAATAAACGAATCATTCCAACCGGTGCCAATGTCGTTATGCCAATATACTCCATTCAGCGCAATGAAAGATACTTTAAAAATGCAGAGGAATTCAAACCAGAGCGATTTTCCGAAGAGAGAACAAATGAAAAACAAAGCCCCTTCACTTATATCCCCTTTTCAGCCGGCCCACGGAACTGCATTGGTCAAAAGTTTGCAGTGTACGAAATCAAAAGCATTATATCAAAACTTCTACGCAATTTTGAAGTAAACTTGACCGAAGAAAGTAAAGTGTTTCCACATTTGAGTGCAGAACTCATCTTGCGACCAGAAAGTCGAATCAATTTCCAATTTAAACCTAGAATTTATTAACTCGAAGCATTTTATAACCAATTTATTTCTACAACTTTTGTTCATTAATGCGCAGTGTTAATAATTGTCTTATAAGTAGTTCCATCACGGGCGTTCTCAGGAATCTCCTGAAATGTCAGGAAATCGTAGTGGTATAAGCATTTTAGTAAAGAATACGGGTGTCAGTTGCATTTATAAAATATATTTTGGACCGGCAAATATGAGTCAATTAATTTTGATCAATAAAGTATGGTTAAACATGAAGAAACACACCGCCGTCGTTAATTGATTTAAATGTATAAATTTAGGCGTAAAATTTGATTATCACATTAACAACTCACGCAAAGTGTAGGTCACAACAAATGCACCCGACATAAAAGATTTGGCATTTAATCTCACTGTCAAGCGGCAAGTTTAATAGTGAGGTCATCATGCAAAATAAACATTCACACGCAAAATAAACGCCGTCTTTCACTCTTCCATTTAGCACTACAAATACGGTGACCTGTTGCAAAATACGTCACGGTGCGTAAGTGAATTGATTATGTCGTTTATTCTTTAAATTTAAAAGTAGTTTATAATGAACACGGCATTTTATTGACAAGATGATAAAAGAGTGACTGGTGGATTTAAATATTCAAGTAGTTGTAAACAGGGAATTTTTATTTGATTCATATTACGTATGCGAACTATTAGATTTTGCTACTGCTTTCAACGTCATGGAATAATCTACACAAATGAAATGAATAAAAATAGAATCGGAACAGCAGAAAGAAAAGGTCCAGCAATAACACTCATTACACGCGTCTGAATGCAACAGGCAATAAGATTTCATAATAAAAATATAGAACGAGACACACTGGACCGTACCGGCTAGGTATTCAATGCATAGCACAGTGTGTAGAACGGTGAACGAGACACGAATATTTCTCACATTCACTGTGTGATTTCGATTCTCTTTTGCTTGCCCGATTCTTCCTTTTTGCCTTGCAAACAATAACAATCAGCAGTTGTGCTGTTGTGACTATTTGTGTGTTTATTTGATTGTACGTCGATCGCTTCAGCAAGTGAATCGAAACCGAAAGCAATTCAGTGCGCCATTCATGTTCAGTCGATTGTTGGCGTTCGTTGCGTTTAGTTCACATTTTTGTCAGTATCGTTATTGTCTCACATTCTATTTGATTAAGAAATCAGTGTATTGTTCTCATTTATGGTGACAATTGTGTGATTGTTGAACGAAAAATGTTTCTGTTTTTGGGCGTCCTTTTGGCGACAGTTATTGCTTATATCTTGCGATTCCACTATGAAATCTTGCATGCATTCATTTTATCACTGAAAATCGATGGGCCGCCAGCTTGGTAAATTGATTAAATGAAAATAATAGAAATAATTGAATGGTTTTGTTTTTAAATATGAAAATTATATAAATGTTTTGATAGGCCTATAATCGGGAATGGTTTACTGTTCTTGAACAATTCATCAGCAGGTAGTATTTGATTTCAATTATTTTATCAAATCAAATGGAAGTTTACAATAATTTTATTTTAAACAGAAAATTTCGAAATTATCATAAAATTGGTAAAGCAATACGGTGGTTTTTTCCGAGTGTGGCTAGGCCCAGGTGAATTGAATATTGTTATTTCTGACCCAAAAGATGTTGAGGTAAGCAATAAACGTGTTTTATCAACAATAATCATCGTACCATATCTACTACGTTTCGTGTCTCTTCTGAAATGTTGATGAAGTTTCATTTATTGTTATTGATGATTTCGATGAAGAAAAAAAAAACTGGTTGAATTTGGCACACGTTCCGGTGTTTACATCTCATAAAGTGTCAACATCAACAATCAGCTGCAATTCAAATTCGGTGTGTTGTGAATATTGTGCTGACTCAAATGTTTTTTTTGGACTTTTTTTCTGGAAGTGAGAAAAGTGGTCATTCCAATACGTTTGTTTGTAAATATAACAAAAACTCCTATTCCACAACAACAAAAAAAGGAGAAAAACATTATTAATAAATTAATACCCAAATCGCATTCATATGAAATTCATATTTGAAATTATTCAAGGTCATCGGCTACACAGCTTCGATCGATATGATCTTAGGCTAACTAGTTCTAGCTCATGAACGCTCAACTGTACATCAAACAGCGATGACTATTCATTTATAGCCATTCCTACGATATTTTGATGATGATGATAATTTTTTTTTCAAAACTTGTTTGCGTTCATTTGAATTGGCCTATTAAGTTGTCGGATATTTGTCATGCCCAGCAATTTCGGACAAAGAAATGGTTTGCAGGCAAGAAAATCATGTAGTATAATTAAAACCGAAGCAAACGACAACCAAGAAATTGTTATTATACACGCATTTCGTGAATCACAAACATGATTTTTGTTACACATAGCACCGCAAAATTCATGACTCTATGCGATTTGATACGAAAATGTGGTGAAAACAAATAAGATATGAATTTAACAGAAAAAAGCGAAACATTAGCAGGCTAAAATCACATAATCATTCTGATAGAGAACTAAAGTCCTATTGAGAGTTCCCATCGTTGCTCTTTTAATCAAGAGAATTACGTGTTCATTTCAGATGAGGCTCGATATGCATTGCGCACTACATTCGAAATTATGATGTTTGTCATTAATATTTAACAAGTCTAATCGATGAAAAAAAAACATTGAATTGAATAATACAAGAGAATGACATATGCTTATTCGATGCAGTTCAACGACTCATTGAAAATGGCGAATATGTCGCACACGCTTTTCGATGATTAACATAAAGTCTTGTGTTGTGTGACGTATTTTACATGGCTCGTGACAGTCGGCTGACAAAATCAACATGCGGCCTTGATATCAAACAGTGACGAGACAAAAGAGACACATATATGCATAGAGAGATCGCAACCAGTTGGGTCTTCCACTTTTACTTTCTGCGGTTGCTGGTTCTTGTTTGGTGTTGTTGTTGTTTTTTTTTTGGCCGGAAGAATTTTAACAGCTCGCGGAAATGTTTTTTGATTCTAAAAATAACAAATCAAAGTGCATAGATAAGTGTTCTGGTTTGTATTTCGTTGGAAAACCACTGCATGGAAATATGTCGAGTGTTAATGAACATTTTTGGTCTAGTTGCTGTGCTATCTGATTGTGTGTATTTTATGCGTATACAATTGCACTTAGACTGTGGCTTTTGTTTTTCTGAGAATTTTTGCTGGTTTGCTGGAGGGAACGCGTGTCGGTTTCATTGCCGCTCTATCGATAGAGGAAAACCGGTTTGTCTGTTTTAAGATTTGTTGCAGCTGTAACGATTATTGTAACTCATGGTCATGATCGTCCACTTATTGCAATGTATTTTATTGCATTTATAAATTCACACAAACTTGACTTTGAAAAAAAAAGCAAATGATCAGACGCAAGACTTGCGTCGCAAGTAAAAGGAAACATAAAGCGCATGAAAAGATGTCAATGGTTGCAATTTCAATAAAATTAAATGAAATTTCCATAAGCGATTATTTAAATTTTTTCAAGAATCTATCGGCGCGTGTTGGGCCCATATCTATAAATTTCTCTCCTTTAATCTACTAATTTTTTTGATGGAAGTTTTTCATTTTTAAAATTATAATTTCCAAAAGATCAGCTAGCATTTGATAACGAGATAAAGAGTTACTCTCATGAGCTCATTCCACGCGAACCCGAACTTAAACTACTTTATTTAATTGACGCTTTTTCAATACATTACAGCACATTGTTGTAAATTCTAATTAAAATGCAATTTGGTTGTGCTATTTTCAGATCCTATTGAGCAGTCCACGCTACATAGACAAATCGACTGAGTATAAGTAAGTAAAATATTCAATTATTACACATTTCTTCACTGTGAACTGAACAAAACATTGTATTTGTTTCGTTTTCACACACAAAATAGGTTCGTTAGACCCTGGCTCTCAGAAGGATTACTGCTCAGCACGGGTAATTAAAATCAATGATGATCGATCGATACATTATACTAAATTAAAGTGGTTAATTTGTTTTTTTGTTGCGTGTTCAACAGGCAAGAAATGGCACGACCGCAGGAAAGTGATTACGCCGGCATTCCATTTCAATATTCTGGAGAAATTTGTGGAAGTGTTCGATCGACTGGGCAACACTGTCGTAGATAAACTCAAGCAATTCGACTCGGGTGATGACGTTGAATTCTATCCAATCGCTGTATTGTATGCGTTGGATGTGATGTGCGGTAAGTAGTCTAACCATAAAAGCAAACAGGCAAAAAAAATCGACCACATTTTCCTTTATAAAATCAAACAACTTTATGTTTATTTCATTTCGATTTCGATCGGCTTTTTTTGGTTTTGTTTTTAACCTGTTTTCATATGAAACTGGAGCAATTGCAGCACAGGCACTTTTTTTTTTCTAAGTCGCACTTAGTTTTCAGTGTATATACGTCGCAGCTTTTGACGAAGTACTGAACAGTGTGCAAAACTTTAATTATTATTGAATTGATCTCTGACCTCAAATGTGTGCAATTCACATCGAAAAGTTTGCCGATGCAATTTTCGAAATTTCATACGCTGGCCTGCATTCGACATTCCGCACAAGTGATTTCATATTCGCAAATGATTCAATACATTTTTTTCATCGCTGATTAAAATGAAATCGTAATCTACGTGATACGAATGCCTAATGGAAAGTAAATTTTATTCATAGTTAAGTTTTTAATTGATATTCGTCATGTTTGCGCTGCAAAAAAAACACAATTACTACTGTCACATTTGACAATTACATCGATTAAGCCACTTGAGTGACATACGATATACACATAGTTATTACTATCATAATTTGCAAAGTATGCGTTACGAATAACATCATCATCATCATCATCATTTCAATTTCAATTCGAAGTGATGCGTACGCAATTAAACTTTGTGGCTATTATTCCAATATTTACATGTGTTTGATTTCATTTGTTTATATTGACAATTGGTGTTTGTACTTAAAATGCGAATGCTTTTGCTTCTTTGCTACTGTTCCCTCCATTCAGGAAACTGTTCTTGACCATTCCCATTCAATTATCACCTCGGAATATCTCACACACACACATTATCGCATTACTCAATTTGGTTTTTCTTTTCATTTATAGAAACGGCAATGGGTGTTAGCGTTGACGCTCTTTCCAAACCAAATTCCGAATACGTGCATGCAGTCAAAGAGTAAGTTCAATGGAGACGGTTAACCACTTTGCTTTGATTTGTTTCCATTTTCCTCTATCTCATCCACACACGGAGAGAGTGAGAATTTTACAGCGCAATTTCCACTCGAGTTCAATGAAATATTAATGACTTCATTCCATTTGTATACTCATATTAATCAATTAAGAATTGCACATGTGCTACACACTCGTATGCTTGATTTCATACTTCGATATCCGCTGTTCTATCAGCATTCAAAGTTGGCGAAGCAACAAGCTGCTGCGTTGCGTATTTTACACGGCTTCACCGATGACGTGATACGAAAACGGCGACAAGAGATCTTGACACTGAAAATCAATAATAATAAAGAGAATAGCAGCAGTTCACAAGAGGATGAGGAGAATGAGGCCATTGGTATTCGCAAGAAACGCGCATTTTTGGACTTGCTGTTGCATTCAACCATCGAAGGCAAACCACTCACTGATCTCGAAATTCGTGAAGAAGTTGACACTTTTATGTTTGAGGTTTGCTATTTTGCATTAAACCAAAATAAAACAAAAAATGCTAATTGAATTTCCATTTCAATTAGGGACATGATACGACCACTTCAGGAATCACATTTTGTTTGTACAACATTGCAAAAAATCCCGAAGTCCAGAAAAAATGTTTCAAAGAAATCGTTGAAGTGTTCGGAAACGATACCAAAGAAGCAACAACGCTGACCAAACTGAATCAACTGTCCTATTTGGATCTGATTGTGAAAGAATCGCTGCGTTTGTTTCCATCTGTTCCGTTCATCGGTCGTCTTTCTTTAGAAGACATTCAATTATGTACGTTGGATTTGATTATGGGATGAATTGTAGTGGTTTCTCAATACCAATTTTGGTTTTTTATAGTTCATCTCAATTGATTTGGACCAACATAGTATCTAACTTCATTTTGTGTCATTTTAGCTCAAAATCGAGTCATTCCAGCCGGTTCGAATATTATCGTACCCATTTATTCCATGGGCCACAACGAAAAGTACTTCGACGAACCTGAACGATTCAAACCTGAACGATTTTTGGGCGAACGATCGATGGAAAAACAGAACTCCTTCACATACATTCCATTCTCGGCTGGTCCACGCAACTGCATCGGTCAGAAGTTCGCATTCTATGAAATCAAAAGCATCGTATCGAAGATTCTACGTAATTTTGAAATAGTTTTAACCAATGAAAGTGAAACGTACCCGGTATTATCTGCAGAGTTGGTTTTGCGACCCGAAAGTTCAATCAGTTTCTATTTTAAGCCGCGTGTTTATTAAATTGTCTGATTTTTTCGATTTGTAATAGCCTATATACTTTTTGATAGCTATTTGTTTAAAGAAATTTCATTTATATCTAAAAATGATTTATGTAAGACGGTATTCAGTTTAGCAATTCAAAGTGGAGTTATAACTGATGTCATGACAGCACATTGCACGACTTAAAACAGAATTATCGATTTTTTTTAAAATAATTTATCAGGGAGATGAAGCAATGACAACAACAATTAAAAAAAAAATAATTACCTTATCTATGCGACCAAAAAATCAGCACCTTGGTTTATTATTGAATTGGTTGTAAACTTTATAGAAATAAAAGCAATTAATTTTAGATCAATTTTATTGAACAATATTTCTTTGTGATTTCCGAGTGAGATTGTTTCGAATCCACTGGGTATCAGCATTAAAGTTTTTATTTATTTTCGTCAAGTTGACATTTTTTTCTTCGATTTTTTTTTTTTTGGGAAAATAATGCAATAGAATTTAATGGAAAGTCTGCTGGAGTTCAACAAAACCACTTCCATGCAGTAACAAAGTATAATATATAGTAATTATTAGGGAAAAAATGGTAAAAAAAAATGTTGTTTAAATCTCTTCATCAGAAAGTGTCAGGTCAATTGTGTGTGTTTGAGGTCCATCGTTACTCGACTCATCGTCGCCGTCGGATATGACCACTGGTGAGAAGGGCTGATAGCGGCTTGGGTGATGAGTTGCCGACAATCGTTCTTTAGCCTCAACCAGAGCTGCATCATTTTTGTCATCGTTGAAGAAATCAAGGCAGCCGGGTTGTGTGATTTTCAACAAAGTGATTTCGATGACATTTTCGTTGCCGGTGATTAATTGCTGGTGTTCTTCTTTCAAGTGTGTAGTGATATTCGTCTCAGAAAGTTGAACGTAACTGCAAAGGCCACATACGTAACCATACAAAACGTTGTCAACGAAATCAAAGGGGCCGTTAATGCGTTCATTCTCTTTGGAGTTGCATTGTTTGTGCAGGTCTTGCATGATTTCTTTGCCGCATTTATTGCACCGAAATTCGAATTCGCCTACCGAAAACAAATTTGATTTTTTTTTTTTAGAAATTTTCACGAATTGTCAACGAAATAAGAAAAAAAGTACAGAATTAAAAAAAAAGAAACAAAATTGCTGCTCACCGGTGTGTGCAATGAAATGTTGCATCCATTTGGCACTGCACATGTTGTACCCTTTGTCGCAAATGTAGCACATCGATTGAATCATTGTGCCTTCACAACCTTTTGTGATCAACGGTGTGAATTTGGGACTTTGTAGCTCTTGTGGATTGAAATTGTTGGCCAAGCGTGAAATGGAAATCTCTTTGCCCGGATGCTTTCTTACATAATGCTTGGTGAGCTGTTTCCAACCTTTGTCCGCCTGATACGAGCATAGATTGCAGTTCGATTTCATTGCATCGTTTGCATTGCGATCGGTGTTCGAGTTTGGCAGGGTCAGTTCATTAATTCCGCACGGTGTATCGTCTTCATAGTCGTCATCGGATATATCCACATCATCACTGGTTGAGGTGGCCAATTTCATGTATGGCTGGGTGGCTGCTACATTTCCATTTTCTGAGAAATCAGAAAGTATTATTTGGGTTCGTTCGGGTTTCTTCAATTTTTTCGCACCATCTTTGGCTGGTGAATTCGAAACAATTAAAGTCCCAACATCAACATCATCCATCATTGCGCTTGAATCCAGCAAATTCTTCGCGTATTCAGCGATATGCGAAATGCCGAGATCAACATTTGCACCAACTTCTGGCGATCCAAAACTTAAATTGGCCGTTATAATATCCATTTCGGCTGAATCATCGCAACCAATTGCTGGCTGCTCAACAGCATGCTCTACAAAATACACATGAATCAATAATTCACAAATAAAACGAGCAAATTTCTGCAACAAAACATACCTGGTTCTGTATCAATCGGCATTTGATGCGGCACAGTGTCAGAAACAGAAGCTTCAACAATAGTTTTCGGTTTGATTTCATTGACGTTTGTATGTTGCACAATTTTACTATCGTGAATGTCACATGCATTTGATGAATTGTCTTGATCTGTGTGAAAATAACAAACATAGCGATATTCAAAGCAAAAATGATGAAAATATTTATTCTGATTGATGTTTACCTTTTTTGTAGCTGCCATCGCTTTGGATTGCTTCGACCGAGTCTGAATGATTTTCCGGTGGAGACTCAGCTGCAGTCTGAATGCCACTGTCTTCGGTAGCCAATATCATGGGCTCTGCCACTATCATTGGTTCGGCTGCTGTGTCACCCAACTGATTGTCATCACGTTGCGTTATCATGTGCGTTGTTGCATCGTCGTTGCCATCTGTCAAAATGTCAGTCAATTGTTGTTCTGAAATGAGCCGAAAAAATAGAAAGAAATAGAATGATTCAAAAAGAAATTTTAAAGAATTGTAACTAGAATACCAACCATTTTGTTCAGCAAGCACATCGGCAGCTGTTCTGACCGGAGACGTCATTTCAGCTAGACGTTGCTCAATTGAACCGATTGAAGTCGAACCAATCGAACTCTTTTCAGACAGTTCAGTTTCGTTGTGTTGTTGGTGTGACACTGATGGGACAGGCTCTTTATCAGGCACCACAGTATTCAACGGTTCGATTCCGCTTAAAATTTGTACGTTTGGCTTTTCCCTTTTCAATGCGTTGACCTTCGCCAACGATGCTTCGACTTTTTCAATCTTTACAATATTTGTTTTGCTTTCTAGAGAATTGGTACTACTGCTAGATGAAACAACACAAGCACCGTTTGGCTTTTTGAGGTTATAACCACTAATCGGTGTCATTTTGACATTCTTTGTATTCTTGTTGGTGCTGGCACGTGTCTGTATTTTTCTCGTATTCGTACAAACATTTTCTTGATCTACGTTGAATGTACGAATAATGAAATCAAATTAAATGTGTCATGCCCGTTGTTGAAAAGGACAGAGCGATAGAATAGAGAATGTTTACCATTACCTTCGCTGGCCTCTTCGTCCGCCAAAGCTTTTAATATGATTTCCTTATCGATGACATCCGGCACACTGAATTCTGTATGGGCAATGAACATTTTGTTTTTGCATTTTTTTTTATTCACATTTCGTTTTACTTCTTCTAAAAATCGAACTGAAAATGTGTACTCACTCTTCTTTTTGTCACTGGTCGGTGTCACCTTCTTCTTCTTCAAATCAATTTTGATCGGTGGTATATATCGATGGTCATCATCATTGGTTGACGTTGACTCGGAATGTTTGGTTCGCTTTGCAGCTCGTTTGGTCTTTTTGCCCAGCTTTCTCTTCTGGAACGCTGTGAACGAGCAGTCATTGTCATCCGAACCGGACACACTATCGAAATCGTCGTGGTGACCGTTGTTGGTGACTTTGGTAGAATTGTGAAAGTGATCATCACCGGCGCTTGGAAGCGAGCCGAGGGATCCAGACGATGATGAGAATGCTGATGCGACCGATGATACATCTTCAGTAGCATCCTCACAATCAAAGATCGATCCAGATGCAACATTCGGATGTGATTGGTTGTGTGCCTTCGCTGGTGATGCAATTTTTCGCGGTGGATTAGCAAACAAGCTTCGATCTAATCTTGGATCTCTTCTGGCACCCAACATACCGAGCCGTTGTGTTCGTTGCAGTGTTCGTTCACGCACCAACGAATTACTGCGTTTGTATGAACCATTCAAACGGTCGCGATTTTTGTCCATTTCTGATCTCAATACCGTTTCTCGCCAAAATCTGGGGATCACCAAACCATCACAAAAATATTCTGGCTCTGGATTTCGAGGATCTTTCGGACGGTCCACATAATCGACCAAATCTAATGGAATTTCGCGTGGCACATGGGTCGCGTCTGGTTTTTGTCCCTCGTCACTGGGTTCGGATTTTAGTTTTTTTGCCTATACGGCGACGACGACATACGAATGGAAAGAATCAATTAAGAATTAACAAAACGAAACAAAGGGAAACGAAAATAAATGGTGCAAAAAATTTCATATTAAAAGAAAGGATAATTTATGATATCCTAAACTTCGCTCTCTCCTTCTTCTTTTCGCTCCCTCTCTCTCTCACTAAACTCACACACACACACTACACTACACTACACTACACATAAAGACTGTGAATATTAATGAGTTGATTTGAGCCAAGCTTGCATCGTTTGAAAAAAAAAACAAATCTATACACAATTTGTTTTGCTTGACGAAACTGAGGACTGAATGCATGGTCGCTTCAGCTTCAACAATACCAACATTGTTATTTTCGCATGCAACAATGTATATTCACTTCAAAGATGTGTTTAAGCATAAACAATTCGTTTTCACATTCTAGCCCATTGCTTTGATTGATCAGAGTCAATTAAAAATTACATGCGGTAATTATGCAAAAAAAGATGATTTTTGATCTTGGATATTTACATAGAAAAGGTGGAGAATTTTTTTAAATTGGTTCAATGTTTTTTTCCACACGCATTTTATACACTTATCGTCAAAAATAAGATGTTTCAATGCAAAAAAAACAACAACTACAACATGCTTGACAGAGCAAGCTGCTGCTCTTGCATCAAAGTAGACCAATTTGATTTGGTTATGATTGTAATGACATTTCATGTGATGTATGTACGTACCTGTGCTTTGTCGTCGGGAGTTTTTCGCGGTGGTAAAATTTCTGTCTTTGAAATCACACGAATGGGACGATATTTGCCGCCATCATTAACAAACACAATATCATCAGCTGGCAAAATGGATGCCGGCGAAAGAATTCGGCTTTCATCCAAGCCAACGATTCGGCTTAGATTGGCAAACGATGTGTTTGCATGTCCATTGCCTTCAAACAATATCGAACTGTTTGCAAGATGATTGTTCGGCAAGCGATGGTTGCTCGTGTGACCCAACAGTTCGATTGGCCAGTCATCACCATATTCACCGCGTTGATACTGTTGATAAAATAATGTGTCTGTGCGAAATTTCGATACAGGCCGATCTTCATCGGAATCGCTCTCACTACTCGATGAGAATCCCCAATTCATTTTCTAACACGTCAATTTGTTTGTAAGTCAAATTTAAAAAAAAAAAATGCCGATTCCCAATTAAACTATAAATTTTTTAGTCTCCAGACTTTAGTCAAATGTTCTTAAATATATTAACACGCTACATCAATACGATCTGTGCGCATTGAAAACTTATGCACGAATGGCAGAACTAAGCGTCATCTACTCAAACTGTTCAGCAGAAAAAGGAAAAAAAAAACAAATCACCACTCAAATGTATTGGTGCATTTCGAAGAACAAATTAAAGTAAACGATAAGAATTGGAAGTCATATTTGTCTCTCTTGTGTGTGAGTCGTCATGAAACGGTATTACATGGCATTATATTTCAAAGTTTATTTGAACGACGTTTATGTTGCTTCATTTTGTTTACAGTAAATTCATTGCGCGCTACGCTTACACCATAAGACATATACGAAGAATGCGGAATGGGCAAGAGAAAAAAGCAATAAAAATGGCTTTTGAAAAGAATTTTTTGGGTCGTAAAAATTTCTATTGATCGTCTGTTCGTCTGTTGGGTTCCATCTCATTAAATCTCGTCGATTATTCGGTAGGTTAGAAAAAAGGAGACGACATGCATAAAATTCTCTTCATACAGGAAATTATTATTGCTATAGAGCCCTTTGCATATATTGTGTTAATATTGCCTAACCGAGGTGTAAATCCGATAAGAATTGCTTTTGCTTGATGCAGCATCGCAGTTGGCACCACTGCTGTGTGCTCGTTCGACAACGAACACAATGTGTTCATGTGTGTGTGCGTGTCTTGGTGTGCGCGAGAAAGAGAGCAAACGAGTGTCAGCAGAGAAGTAACCCAGGTCAGAACATATATATTGCACTCAAGCTACACACAGAGAGTCGCAGCGCAACTCAATATAAACTCTCTTACGTACGACGGCTCTCTACCACTGACAAGGCATCGTGCAATGACTGAATACAGCTGAGCGAAACGGCTGTAACTCTCGCTTTCTCACGCATACACACACACGCGCGTCCGAACGAAAATCCATGTAGCAAGTAGAATGACACAATCAAATGCCACCTATGCTCGTCTCTTTCTTTGAAATGTTTACTCTCTTCGTCGCTCTTTACAGTTTTAAGATTTCATGAGAAAAAAAATCGACAGTCAATTTTTGCGTGCTTCCATTGTCGATGTTAAGCATTTGAGTGCAAAAAAAAAACGCAAAATTTTGTGCATAATTCTCGTCGTTCGATGTTCATCAAACGATCGAAATAAAGGAAATAAAACGAGTGTTCATCGAATTGTTTGCGTGTGTTTAGTGGTAAAATTGTAATTTCAAAGAAACACACAAACGAAACAGAATCGAAAACGACAAACAAAAAAAAAGAGAAACAAACGAAAATCCATGAGCAAAATTTGACGCGTCCAGTGTAAGTGTTTTCAATTGCGATACATTCAATTCTGTTCCTCTATTCTTGTGCAACCAAACACCACGAAAGAAAAATCGAAATCAAACGAGTCAAATCTTTTTTTTTTCTTGGCATAAACAGAATCTTTCGAACGAAAAGATTTATTTACGACCTTTACTATTTGCGTATTTATGCACTATTCGCCCAAAATCTACTACCTAAAAAGTAAAAAAAGAAGAGAGAATGAAATAAAAAAATTGGCTATGCAAACAAAATCCATCCATAAAGTCACAAAGTTGAAAACAAAAAGGCTCATTATTATACAATAATCACAACCAAAAGAAGTAAAAAAAGAAAAGAACATACCCAAAACTGACTGATGCAAATGTTCTGAAATACATTTGCGTATATAGAAAATGGCCATAGAATGCATCAATGCTGTTTTTTTTTCCTGTTTAAATCTAAAAATAGCCAAATAAATAACATGAAAATAAAAGAGTCTGATGCATAAAACACAAATTTTTTTTTCGGTGTATTGTGTGTTATTGTTTGGTGTTTGTCATCGAAGCGCATACTGTTTGTTCGTTCATTGGTTTGTATTCGCATTCAGTATGCACGCTTTCTCTCTCTATGTGTATTCGACATAAGAGACCTTCTGTTGTGTTACTTCGTTTTTTGGTTTTGATTAAGTGATGAAACACGCAATGCGGTAAAGTTGAATGTATAGTTATTTTTTGTTTTTTTTTCTAATTTGTCACGGCTACTTATTTGCCATTAAAAATGCCATCCATAAATTTCACCCGATTTCAATACATTGAACTGGCATAATTGTTCCCTTCTTTTTCCGCCTATACGAAAATTCACTCTTTTCTCTCTTTCTCTGCCGTTTGTCTTGCTTTCTTGTTTAGGGTCTGCCAGTTTGGGTCGCGTACAATACTCTTTTGCTCTAATACTTCTGTTAATGTCATTATGAGTGTCGACGACTGTAAATTCAAAATCCATTTCGTGAGTGTTTTTTTTTTCTTCATTTGGTTCATGTCGTTCATACAGTCTGTATTTTTTCTCTACATAGTTCTAAAAATAGTAACTAAGAATGGGTTTAAAATAATCTTCAAAATTTATGAATGTAAAAAAATAATTTCCATTTTCAATTGCGTTTAGTTGACTACGCGCTATGTCTTCCATTCAGGCTGGCTAACACAAGTCAAAAAAATGCAAGCAAACGGAAAATAGATGTCGAATCGATAATTCCAAATCCGCCTTAAATGAAATGGAATAAATGAAGCAATGAATTGAGAGGAGAAAAAAGAAATAAAGAAAGAACGAACAAAAAATAAACGATAGACACGGTGGTGCATACAGTTAACAGACAAGCACTTGTGGACATATTGAAATCTCTCTGTGTGATCGATACGAAAGTAATCGATATTTGGCAACGAAAAGGAAACACAATCATAATAATAAACGGAGTTCGTGTCATTTGGAGCGCGAATCCATTGGGAAAGGCTCACTCATACACACACACACACACTCTCTCTCACACACAAAGGAAGAAATTACGGTGATGTGATAGTGCCTATGGATTTCCTTCAGGCGCCTTGATATTGTTGTTGCTCTCTCGAATTCATGGTTACGCGCGCTTGGAGCAAATCGACAAACAAGTTACAACGAATTACATGGCTTATATATTTTAGCTGCCTCGTTACCAAAAAAAAAACTACTGTGTGTCAGTGTCGATAGTTCAAACTGTTACAATTTGTTATTTTTTTTCTGTCTCTATCTCCTGTTCGATATAAATTCGATTTCGTTTCTTTTTTTTTCTTTCGTCGAAGCATTTTGTTTTCCTTTGTCCGTGTAATGTTCGTTGAGTGTGACGTTTAATTTTGGTTGTTGAGTTTTTACTTGTTTGTTAAAATAACGGTGCGTTTTGAATATGTGTGATTTGGAAAGAACTTCAGTGACGATAACACGCAATCTCATTTACATACATCAACAAATGGGCAATTGATCTCACCTAATCGTAATTAGAATACAACATTGGCCCATAAATCGTCGACAATTTATGTGTTTGGGAAATTAATATATTTTACAACAACAACAACACCGACGACGACTACGACTACGACGACGACGACAACGTCCACGACGAATAAATTAACCACAACTGCACGAATTAAGGAAGCAATCATCCCCCTCCCCTTGAACAAAATAGAAAGAAACGTAACTTATATTTTCGCATGAAACCAACACAAACTCTTCCTGTCGTCTATACTAAAAACAAACTAACATTTCTTTTTGCATCGATTCAATAGAGAAATTACCACAAAAAAAATAATAACACACGAAAATGTATAACAAATTAAATGGCTACACTCCATTTAGGTCGAGGTAAATTAAATAACTGATCCACATTTTTAGCCACAAAGTATATTTTAAAAGTCATTCGTTCATGTAAGGGAAATAAATCAATAGGTCATGCATAGTACGTTCGTTCATTCTGTTCTGTCATCAATCATAATCATCATGGCAAAGTCAACTCACACTCAATCACCCTCTTTCGTCAACTCATTCCCATTTTGCCACATGGTTCATCTTGAGATTTTCATTTTGCTTTGATTTTTATTTGGCATGCAATTCATCTTAGATTCATACACACATACGGTCATAAGAATTTGGGTACAAAAATGCCCAAATTCCACAATTCCACAATTTCGTTTTATTTTCCGCTCAAACATCTCATTCACTGTAAATAGAAGCCATACGCGAAACATTTTCTCCATTTTTAGTTTGACATCATCTATCCTCTATCGCGTGAAATCTGATGCAACATATCTCATGCCCATTTTTTTTTCCTGCTCCTATAATAATGAGTTTCGGCTCAGTCAAGATCATTTTATGCATCATTAAAAGGCGATGTTTATGGTCGCAGTCGCAAGATACATATAATAATGTCGACAGCATTGAAAGCCGGCGTTCAAGTGGAGAGTATCGAATTCACTTGGTTGCTCGTTCATGTCGCCGATCAAATGATTATGACTGTACATGAGCGTACATGAGCCGGGCCGACCAATAGCATTAACTCAGTTTTGTTTATTCATCGGCCACTTATGCGTGTGTCATCATCTTTTTCTTTTCTTTTTCGTTTGCTCTCGTATTTATTTTGCTTTGATTAGTCTGAAACGATTTTGAACGCCGGAATGAGTTTGCGCTCATGAGTTTCATTTTCGTCCCGTTTTATTTTTCTCTCCTTCCCTTTTCGCTCATTATTCTCAATTTCGAAACCGTAATGTAATTTGAATTTTATTGAAATGAAAATATTAACCAATAAATAATTGCGCATTCACAACAACGTGCGTCCCAAACAAACAAAAAAAAAAATAATCAAAAACTGAAATCAACCAAACGAAAACCAAATGTCTTTTTCCAATGATTTTATCGATTACAAATGTAGTAGCGGCCGAATGTGGGGAATGTCACATTCGATGCCAACCGGAATGGTAAGTGACTGTTGCTTTTGCATCCGAAACTAAAGCCTTTTTGTTTTATGCTCCGCTCATGCCGTGTGGATTTTGTGGTGTTGACTCAAATAGTAAAGGAATAATGTTCGTAAATTGCAAATTCGATGACAAATCGCGTGATCTCAATTTTCCATTGATATTGTTGTTGTTTTTCATTGTAATTGTTGTCATTGTGACTTTGGATGTTTAAGTTGTAAGAATTGCACTCTATCGAGAAAAAGAAAATAATCTAGAAAATCTCCTTTTTTTTATTGAAATATATAATTTTTTTTTGTATTTTTTTTTATAGTCAAAACGAACAATTTGATTCAACACCCAGATCCCTCGCAAAGCGTTTGCGTGCACGAAATTTTCGTTTTCCAAGTTCAAATTCGTTGCAATTTTTCAGTCACTTTACGCTGACTACAACCACTTATCGCCGCCGCCGACGTCACCGCTGCTGCCCACATCATATACCACACATTCGCTGTCGCAGGACACGGATTTTTCATCACAGTATTTGTCGCGGCATCGCTTCGATTTGCCATCGAGTAGTAGTTCATTTGGTGCAGGCGCATACATGTCGACATCAAGCTCACAATCATTAGCCGCTGGTGCTAATTTCGATCCAAATTCAGCCGGAACGAACCTGATCGTTAACTATTTACCGCAAGATATGACGGACCGAGAGTTGTACTCTCTGTTTCGTCACAGTGGACCCATTGAATCGTGCCGTGTGATGAGAGATTTTAAGGTATGCAAAAGTAGAAGCAGCTGCGACAGCGATTAGAAAAATAAACCACACACAATGTGACAACATACTGCTCATATTGCGAAATGCATCAGCTATTTTATTAGCGCGAACTCCTTAGATTTTACATACATTTCTTAGAACTGGCACATTTGTTGACAACAATGGCAACAATAAATTGTTGTGTATGCAAAAGCCAGCAGTTTTCTATCCATTTAATTAGAATAAATCATTTGATACATTCTATTGCATTGCATTGAATAATTGCGATTTTGTTTTTTTCTATCTCGCAGACTAATTATAGTTTTGGCTATGGTTTTGTGAATTTTGTCAGCGAAGAAGGCGCACGACAAGCAATCAAGACACTCAACGGTATCACCCTACGAAACAAACGACTTAAGGTAAACATTGAAACGGTTTTCTCTTTCTTGAATAAACAGTAAATTAATCGAATTTTTATTTTTCACATAAAATAGGTTTCATTCGCTCGGCCTTCTAGCGAAGACATAAAAGATACAAATTTATACGTTACAAATCTTCCGCGAAATGTAACCGAGGATCTGATCGAAACTATTTTTGGCAAATACGGTAACATCGTACAGAAGAATATCCTGAAGGATAAAATAAGCGGTAAACCACGAGGAGTAGCATTCGTGAGGTAAAATAGAAAATCTCATAAAAAAATGACATCTGAACGACACGAGAAATTCATCCATACTAATTTAAGGGCTTCCATTTGTATTTGATTCAGATTCAATAAGCGAGAAGAAGCGCAAGAGGCGATTTCCGCGTTGAACAATGTGATACCAGAGGGTAGCAGCCAGCCGTTGACCGTAAGGATTGCCGAAGAGCATGGCAAACAAAAGGCGAACATGTTCTATGGACAGCCAGCGATGCCGATGAACATGATGAATAACTACATGAACAACTTCAATCAACAAGTGCCGTCGTCCAATGTGATGCGTGGAGGTAGAGCACGTTACCGTTTTCAAAATGTCTGCCCATATTAGATTCAGATCAATCACTTATTTTGCGGTTGATTTTTTTTGCGCCCGAAGTGAACAAGTCAGAACAACAATAACAGCAACAGCAAAAAAAAACAAATAACAGCTGAATGATAAATGTCAAACAGAATATTTATAGAAGATTTGATGTGATTAGAAATCAGCCAAATTCACAAAACCATAAGCAAAAGCAAAAACAAAATCTCAAGAAGGAAAAAAAAGAGAAGAAGAAGAAAGAAAAAAATGAGTGTAAAAAGGAATTGCGTTTAAACAAAAAAAAAAAACAAACACGCTCCTTTTTGAATGCTAAAACTAGAATTTTCTCTCGAAATTCATTTGACAAACATACACACACACACACACACACTTTAGTTTGTAATGATTTTTCTCATCATTTTTAGAGATAACCATTTTTCTTACAATTCAAGGAAAATATTCGTTCAAGATTAAGTCGCATGACTGCTTCATTATTGAAAAAATGAACATGTATGGATTAACGGGGAGAATGCGCGGAATAAATGAATTATTCTTAAAAACAAAATGAACATTGTGGATGATACAGCCACAACTCTTTGAATAACGAAGAAAAAAAAAACAAATACATTTTCAATTTTTGTTCATCTTATTTTGCTTTATCCTTTTGTTGTCATCGCCGAAAAGTGAGAGAAGAACAAAACGATCCGTGATTCAGATAATTCACTCTCCTTTAGGTCTTAAGATTGATGCTTTTGAATTTTTATTGCCCACAAAATCGTTTGGACACGACATAGCAAACAGAAGATAAAAAAAACACAGACAGAACTATCAAAATGAATTTAAATTATGAATGGTAGCCAGAATAATCAAATTACATCCATAAAAAAATATAAACAAATGAAAAAAATAATAATAAATAAGATAAATTTCACAATATGTGAAAATAGTAGATGCTTGAATTTTGTTTTAATTTTTTTTTTTCATCACGCTTTTTTCCATTTTTTTCTTCTTTTCATTCGTAGAATTAAGATGTTTTTCTTTTTTATTTTCAGCTATTTAGCACCTGCATTACGATTTTATATTCAGAGCACTTTTGCGCATTATTATTCGAAATGTTTACAAAGTGCTTAATTAATTTATTTATTAATTGATAGCCAGTCTAGTCAGTAAATGCTTGAAATACAAAATTTTTTATTTTCATTTAATTTCCCATAGTTTTGAATGCCGTAGATTATTTACAAAATAACAAGAGACATGCCCTCTGAATTTTGAATTTCCAAACAACAATCAATATATCCTTGAACAGTTGGACAAAAAAAAAACCAGTTCGTTAGTGTCCCCTCATGCGAATGATAACATTCGATTAGTCACTAATTGCTGCTCTCTCTCTCTCTCTCTCTTTCTCTCTCTTCTATTCCATGCTATCCTCAAAACGAAAACCAATTCTCCTCGCATACACTTAAAACTGTTGACGTATGAATTATATTGAAATGCACATAGTTGGATCGGATTTGTACAGCAGGAGAAAGAATTATTCTTCGTATCTGTATTGAAATTAAAATGCTAAAGAACAAATCGATTCGAATTGGGATTAGAAGAATAATGGTCTCTCGTCGCCAGCAATCGCCAAGAGAAATCCAAGCCCCTCCTTGGATGTGTTTCAAAAGAAAGAAAAAAAAACGTTTAAAAACTCCAACGAAAATAACAATCAATGCAAATTACATAACGACATTGCATGATAACAACCACAACAACAACAACAAAACAACCAAAACAACAGCAGTAACAACAAACAACAACAACAAAAAATTTAACAGATATGCTAACGAATACAATAAAGCGTACAATTGTAATAATTTAATTTTAAAAAAATCACAATAAGCCTAGGATAACCAAATATCCCGCTAGCAAAAGCAAAATAAAAACAAACAAACCAA